GTTTTAAGACTTATTTTGTAAACTTGAGGTCAATTTTAACGTATTTTTGTAATCACCTAGTACCCTCTTTTATATACACTACTTTAATTTAAATAACCCGTACAATACTATTATGCGAAGGAAGGTGTCTTGAATAGTGATACTCAGGTTTATAAGTTCTTGTTATTTTATAATATTGAACACAGTTTGTTTTATCATTTTCTACCATTATTTTATCATCTTTTGTTAAGCTTGGATTACATTGTCAACAATGCAAAAGTGGACGGTTTTCAATTGTACTTAATTTTAGCTTTATAAGTTGAGAAAAGGATAGTCAAAAGATCAATCTAAACTAATATAGAAAAGCCGCCTCAAAGTAAAATCTTACATATTACTGTATGAACTGTCATATAAGAGGCCTGTTTTAGGTTTTTGTATAAACTCTACTCTTTCATTTTAAAGTAAATGTACCGAGTCAGGACTTTTACAGTCATGCACAACTGTTCCCATTGAGACCGTACGCAAAGATTTTTTAAAACCAAATAGAAGACATACACATTGTCTTCATAATATATTTTGAGGGAAAGGTTGAGACCTCACATACATGTTTAACTCCTTCACATTCTGTATGGGCCAGTCTGTCAGGAGCCTGTAAGTCAGTGGTGTCGTTTGCTGAACAGGAACTTGAGTGCAGGATTCGGATAATTTTTGTTCATTGTTTGCACTGAATATATTCAATTTTCTATTTGCATAGCACATACTTTAACACTACTATGGTTGTCTTACCAGTAGGGTATAAAATTAGAAAACTAAATATTCAGTGCAAACAATGACAAACCAAAAACATCCAAATCCTGCACTCAAGCGACTGTGGCGGTTGCTGAAGGTCATATTTGTTTTTCATTTATTGTTTTGTGATATAAACCAGGCCGTTGGTTTTGTCTTATAGATTGATTCACATGTTGTCATGTCCGGGCCTTTTATAGCTGACTATACTACGTTGAAGGCCATATGGTGACAAATAGTTGCTAACACGTCATTTGGATTTTGGTTGATAGTTCCCTCACTGCCAATCATTACACTTCTCCTCATTTCTATTTGGTAGTTTATTGCAATTTTTATCTCCATCCCTACTAACGACGTTACAATTTTGAAGGCAGAAGCAACGGATGATCACACGTTCAGGCTTTCTTAGCCTTCATATACACATGATGCAGAACATATCAAAATTTAGTAGTAAATAGTGGGTACCAGTAACCGCTTTATTGTGTCAATTGTGCTACAGAAAACAAATGTTTTCCTACTGCTAGGGCGATGGTCTTAACAAGTGTATAATTTTAGCACTTCTTTCTGGTTTAGAATTTAATAACTATTTGCATTACTAGTATTTTTAACGATTAGAATTCTTTCCGAAAACATTTCAAAATAGTATATTGTCATCACAATGTCCATCTCTCTGTCCAAAACAAAAGGTGCAGATGATAACATAAGTTTGCTTTGGAGGAGGACTTTATAACTTTTCAACGTGATATGAAGTCCCGGCGAGGGAAGAACAAATATTTGCTTCTGCAAATTTGCAGATTTAACATTGTTGTGCTGATATTTAGAGTATTTATATATATCTAAGAAATGACTGTAATATTTTTTCTGTCTATGAAGAAATAACATAAAAAATGTGGTGCACACTGTATAACCCGCGTAGCATTTTTTATGTTATTTCGAATAGACATAAAAAATATTAAAGTCATTCCTTATAATTTAATTCTTAAAAGGAGTAAATCATGATAAAAACGTTTATGACGTCGCGGTCACATGACAAAATTATGTGTATGAGCTGATAGACAAAACACTTTCAGCCAATCAGAAGACGTGTTACATCCAAAATTAAATTATATATATATAAACTAGTCTAAATTGTAAACAACGTTCAAACCTATGATTGCGTTGGATAAAAACCGCATACGTGTGCATGCAAAACAAATTTCTTGGTAGTATATATACCGTGGTTATTTAATTATGTTTCGTTCTGTGATGTCATAATCGGGAAAAAGAGGACGGGACAAAATGGTGGTCATCTGCGCAACGTGAATGCAACAACGGTCAAGCAACTCTTAATGGCGTCCGTAAAACTTTCACATGGAAAACTTCAACTTTACCGTTTGGAATCCTTACTTTAATAGCTTTTCTGTACTCAGCAACCCTCTATCAAGGAAACAATGATAGAAACACAAGCTCTGTTATATCGAGCCAACTTGGAGATATATACTTCATATGCTGAAATGTTGCAACATAGAATGTAAGATTCAAATTCATTGGTCCTATTTTGATCTTAAACATTATAACTACGATAGTACTGCCTATTTTCATTCTGTTGCATATTTCTGGATTTGTGTCTAAAATTGTTTGTTTTTGGGTGTACATAAAGGGAACATTTTCCAGAAATTAATTTATGTTGTGCACGCAGTAATTCGTTACACGTGTTCATGTGATGATTTTTACAAAAATAGCCGCTCAAATCATTAGATAGCATGAAGATCGACTTGTACAACAACAATACAAATGACAATGAGATATTGATATAATAACAGTTGCGAGAACGCACTATGTATGTAAAAAGTCAGTTGATTGAAAGCTGACAATCTGTAAACACTTACACATTGATGCTGTTAGGCTGCAAACGCATCAAAAAAGTTAAATCATATGCATATATGTACATATATAGAATAATTATAAGATGTGATATCAATTGCCAATAAAACATTTATCGATAAAGATCGAAAGACATAGATGTCAAAAAATATAGATCACCGTGCCAGCCTCCAACAATAACTAAAGCCTACACAGTATTGTCAGCTATAAAAGGCCACGGTAAGACAAAATGTGAAACATTTTAATATTCCTGGCTTAGGAAAAGCACGTTAAGAATGGAGGGTTTTGACATATTTGATAACGCACAACCCTTTCCCACCCTTGGACAGTATTTTAACAACACACTGTAACAGAAGATGAAACTATAAAAATCAGTTGGAGAGGTCTTCACTCACCATATGTAATAAGCTCTTTGACAAAACAAATAACAAAAAATACATTAAGTACTAATCTCTGGGTACTCACCATTACTAAATGCTATACCAAAGCCAAATTTCATTTAATAAATAAACCATATATTTCTCAAGACTAAATGACAGCAGTACACCTCCGACTGATTAAAGACAGTTGAGAAAAACAGGACCGTGTGGAATGCCAAAATATAAGTATAAACGGTATAAACAGGATATAAGACCAGCATTTTCAATACCTCGATAGCAATACATTTAAAGTTATGTATTAAACTATCAAAAATGGAATCAATGTTAGTACCAATAAAGACAATACAATAAAATCTTACTACAATGAATAACTTTTAAGAACGGGTATTTGCCGATTATTTCCAATTCCTAATTGTGACATATTGGATGGATGTTGAATCGTAGGCCGGGTGACGCATACATAATAAGACACAATAAGGTGTCATACCACCAATTCGAAATCCCTACCGATTCAACCAAATTTTGCAATTTTCACAGCTTACTAAATACTTTACCTTAGTTTAACTTCATAGAAACCAGGTATATCCTGAATTGTACATATATGCATGTATCAACTTTCTACATGCCAATTTTCAATCAATGTTTAAAGTCTTGTAGCGAAATACTAACGTTCCGAAGACTAGAACTGCTAAAAATAACCCGTGGTTTTCTTTAAATCTTAAATAAGTATACTATGGAGCGCATTAATCCTCTATTTTAATGCAAACTCATGGACAAGTAAATTTCGGCTCCAAATGGTCAACATATATTTCTCTTTCAACAAAAGTTTCAATTCTGCAAATTTGTTGGTTAGTGTAAGTAAACAACGACATCAAAAACACTATTTTATGTCAGGGAATAGCTACTTTTACATACGTTCTAAATTTGAGTGGATGAATTGGTGGCCTGTTTGATTTGTATCTTGTTAAATAGCTTTATGAGTTTGAACATCGGTAAACTTCTGTTGCTTAAATTTAATTCAAAGGAAAAATAACTATATATGGTTGGTATCTTCATTTACGAGCTCTGTTCATATAATCTAAGTATAAAATTTGAGATGATATCCAATTTGTTGTAAAGTTGGTCGTCCGAGATGAAGGGGAGACATTTCGACTGCTTCCATGAAAGAGGGCATGCTTGATATGGGAAGACATTTTACAATTCAACATGCTATCTACATCCGAAAGAGTTATTGCTAGCGTTCTTCAACGTACACAGAGCATGTCACTTTTCCTGCACATGGCAGCTAATTTAAACTTCCGAATCCAAACGGACTTGCCTAGGTATTTACACATCCGTAACAACCAAACCGACGCGTAGATACCCATTTTGTTATACCCCTTTTATCCATTAAGGTTGCAATGAACTAGTTTTATCCTTTAAGACATACCACATATCTGCATTATAATTTTGATGTTTGGTGAAATCAACCTATATAGATTTTATTGATGTTTATCTCCCTTTTAATGTCACTTTGTTGAACACTAGTATCAAAGCCTTGTAATCATTTCTAAAATGATTTATATTTAAGGGGCTTCAAACTAAAAATAATAGTACATATAGACACAAGTGTTTTATACGAAGCCACAAGTAACGCACTCTTAATTGTATTGGTTTGTAAAGAAAATAGACATGTCAGTAGGTGCCAAGCAGTGTGCCTTTGTCAATTTATACTTTATAAAGAGTTATTGTCATATTTTTAATTGTCCCTTCGGTATCTGCTCCTTTTTTATATAGAATTAAACGTTTAAATAACAGAATGCTCACAGCTGCTAACTTCGAGCTTACGAATCGTACTAAAAATGACAACTCTTTCTAAAACCAGCGCTTTTCATTTGGGCAATAAATACATATTCACCCTGACCTTTGCCTTGATCATCAAAAATAAACAAGAATAAAATATTTTACAACGGACAGTTTATATACAAATGGCGCATCAATATTAAATTCGAGTTTAACATACAATACATTTTTATTATCGAACATCTACAACTGTATATAAATATGCAGACAAGACAAATACTATTCATTCATAGGGTTTTTCTTTGTCATTTTGATAACCAAGTCTCGATTTCAAATAACTGTTTCGCTTATCTCCCCTCCTCTATGATCATATTTCACACTTGATTTGTCAATAAAGTTAACTGCGCTTGCTGTAATGGTATAGCTTACTTGTTTCCCAGAAGATGTGCTAAAATATAGTTTTATCATATATATCATTATATCATTCATTGTGTACAACCAGTCGTTTAGACAGCTAAATGTCAAACTATCAAAGAATACAAAAACAAAACAGGGCTTGTCAATTTTTAAAAAAAACGCATCTAAATAAAAACTGTTTCAAAAGGTAGTTACACCCGTCCTTTTTGTGAGAGGATGCATGTATTTCAAACTAAAAATGTACATTCATGTACTCATGTATCGTATAAACCATGAACTCATCAAAGATACCAGGCTTTAAATTTAGTACGACAGCTGCGCGTTTCATCTACGAAAGACTCATCATTGACGTTCGAATAAAGTAAAGTTAAAATGGCCAAATAAAGTACTAAGTGCGGTTACCAAAATACAAGAGCCTGACTGGTGGTACCCTTGGTATGGTAAATTGAAGTCTATCAGCAGCATCATATACCAGTGGAATATATGTAAACGCATGATAATGAATTTCATTGTGCAAACAAAGGCCAGATGAATATAGAACTATGATAAGGGTCCTATGGAATCTTAACCTTTAGATCGGTTGATTCGTTTTAGAGACAAATAGTTTTTTTGTTGTTTGATATTTGTCTTATTTATAATCCTTGTTTTAATTTGTTATAATGGCTAATGGTACGTATACACCCTTTTAGTTGTCTTAATCTGATATCTGGAATTATTCCAATAACTTGTCTTCTTTACCACTTTTAATTATTTTCAAAATAGGTAGTATCAATGCATGTATCTCATGATCAACATACATAAATACATAGAAATAGTTAACTCAGACACCAACAGAAGACAAAATCGAGAAACTATAAGAAAAAATATAATTCCTGTATCCGTTTGCATGTCCATGCATTAACAAACCCACACATATCCTTTGTGTTTGGTTTGCTGTTTGAACATCTATTTATATGTATTATAATGGTTTACTTTTATACATTGTAACTTGGATGGAGAGTTGTCTCATTGGCACTCATACCACATCTTCCTATATCTATTACATATAGCACTTACGCATGTTGATTTATGCAGTCAACATTTTCATTTCTGTCATTCTCCTCGGAATTAGTATTTTCTTGAACTGTAGGCCTAAATAGAAACAAAGGTGAAAGAAAGAGAAAAAAGATTCTTATGAGAGGAAAATGTAAAACTAGACGATATAAATTATTGGTAATTCATTTCCAAAATATTTAAAAGCCTGAAATTTAATAAGGTAAAAATTTGATAGAAAAATATGAATTATCAAACGAATATTTTTCTTAAAAAATTTTTATTGTCAAAAAAAATCGACAAAAAGAATAGCAACAATAATAAAACATTACATAGAAAACTAAAGATTAAACACGAACCCCAACAACACTTGTGTTTGAACTTAGATGCTCTGGACATGTCGTTAGTTCATCATTAAATTAAGGCGACAATACTTTACCGATGTTCAAATCTCATAAATCGATTAGAAACATAAAAATCAAAGCAACAAACTACAACTTACAGAATCGTATGAACTCCAAAAAGTGAGCGACCGGGTTAAGCGTAACCTGGTTTGTATGCATCATCCTCCAATCAAATCCAACCTCTCTCTCTCTCTCTCTCTCTCTCTCTCTCTCTCTCTCTCTCTCTCATAACGAATATCCAGAATTAAATTAATATTTCCAACGTATCATATATTATATTGATGTTGTCTGCGGTATGGTATATTATGTATCTATAATTTAACCTTGAAGAGCAATTCCTGGTCTTTAGCAGTTGGTTCATAGTTGTTGTTACTTCTTCATTTAAACGGTTTCTGTCACTATCAAGCTGTTGCAGGTCTTTTTTTAATAGCTCATTTTCTTTCTTCAGCTCAAATACAGACATGTCTTGATTTAAGGCTGAAGATACTCTAAAAATCGAAAACGCTACATATTATATTAATTCATTGAAAATCTGTATTAATCACGCGTATTGGAAGTCGTCCAGAAAGGTAATCGTGTAAACATGATACATATAAAGTGTTTTTCCCTCATAATATAGCTCTTGAAAGTGGCTTCTCATTCAATTTAAAAGCTGGGAACACCGCTTTTTTGACAGGGTTCGTGTCGCTCCGGTTTTTGTGTTCTTTGTAGTATTTGTTAGACTGTAATGTTTTGTAGACCTGTTGTTTTTTTTTTTAAACATTCGTCGTATTTTGTTTTTTGCCATGGTCTACGGCTTTCTTCGACTTATGAATTTTGATTGTCTCTTTTGTGACTTCTACCCATTTTCTAAAACAATTATATTTTTGAGGAAATGCTATGTAGATTTATTTCAATCAGACGTTATAAAGCTAATGTTTCACACTGAAATTACGAATCCCAATGACACGAAGTGAAGCATCGTATTGATTTTAGTCCCAATTTTACATAAGCAAACTGTAACAAGATATAACCGAATCAAGAGTAAGGGGTATATGTGATACGGCTTATTTTCTTTCAGTCAAGCTTAATGGGCAAACATAGTCATACCAATATAGCATTGAATGATGTGTTTTTGAAAACCCATACAAAATGAAAACAAGTGTCTATCACATTAAGCATAAAGCGCGGAAGCGCGGAAGCGCTTCTTACTAAATATGTGATGGCAACTTGCTTTTATGTCGTAAACATGTTCATAAACACAGCATTCAATTCTTATACTTACAGATTTTCGAAATAAAACAAATATATGGCATTCAAATTTTGAAACAGAAAAGTAAAATTTTACACACAAAACTTCGAAATTGTTTAGTGAGATGAAGACAGTATCATTCCACATTAAAAACATGTGTTGCTTTTTCCAATTGAAAACGAAAGACCGAGCAACACAAACCCCCACTAAAAACTGGGGATGATCTCAGGTGCTCCGGAAGGGTAAGCATATCCTGCTCCACATGTGGCACCCGTCATGTTGCTTATGTAAGTACAGATAAGTCTAATTCGGTAGCTCACATTCGGGGAAAATTGGACGGGATTGTAGTTATGACAATTAGAACATATCCATCGTCTTCTGTGAAACATATATTCCATAACGGTCAGCCAACCCGTGATGGAGTCCGTAAAATTTACAAAGGGATGATTTCATGTCGATTTCAAGGTAGATAGCTCATCAAATACTTAGCAATTTCCAAACATTAGTGTACATATGTATATCAAAGTATAATCATGTATTGTTTTATAATTGTATCAATTACTCACATTTCAAGATATTTTGTCATTTACTTGTTTTTCAAATGAATCCAATTTGCGATTTTTTAAAATCATAATCGTTTGAAAAAATACTGGAACAATGCGACAAAGAGTGTTGATTGCATATGTAATTAGGAAGGCGGATATAATAGTTCTATAATTGTTTTCTGAAGAAATCAACGCATATAACGGAATCAAATGAATCGTCCTTAGCCAATAAAAGATCAGCATTTGTATGAATTGGACACATACTGTAAATATTGTTCAATAAAACGAAAAACAATCAATATGAGCAACACTATGTATATTCACCTTGAGCTTGTGGAGTGCCATTCTGTAAAAAGAAGTTTTGCATTCTTCATCTGCTGCCGAAGACTGTCGTTTTCATCCTGAAGACCAATGAGATGTGATTTCAGCATGTATAATTCCTTTTCTGTTCTATCAACTCTTAAAGTAGAATATTCAAATGTGTACAAAACGAATATTCATAGCTTCTAAATTAACAAACTATCATTGAATTTAACTTTGAAAAAAGCTTACAGGGCTATATATATGAGTTATATGGTATGGTTATAATTTACCAACACTGTAATAAATGAAAACAACACTTTATAAAATAATTAGTATTAGAATTTTAATCGTTTTCTTGGTAGACAAAATAATCCACCAAACTGAGCATATAACAACTGATGTTCAAATCTCATAAATCGATTTATCAAGGTACAAAAACCAAAACTGAAGGACTTTAAACTTCAAAAGGAGCGGGACTTGATGTGTCAACATAGTAAGCGTTCCCTTTTTACATCTTAAATCAAGTCATCATAACCAATACAATTAAGAAACATTAGTGACATGATAATGGTGCGATTTGAAGAGTATAGTCGTAGCATATAAATTACCATGGATCTGCATATATTAGAGGTGATAAATGACAATAAAGTAAAAAGAATAAACATAAATATGCTTTCTATTGTCTGAGAGAATATGATTTATTTATTAGGTGTAATTGGCATTAAACTAGTTTTCAGTAACTGATAGTACTCTTGTATCAGTGGTTTAATTTGTATCAATTGTTTTTATGTTATTATTTTATTTTTTATGCTTCGTACCGATCTATTGAGTTAAGCAACTTTGAAAGTAGCTTCCTTAGTTGTGCTGTTGCATCATTGTACCAGGTAAGGGGAAGACTAAACTAAGGGGAAAACAAACATGTTTTACCAAGCCATATTCTTAATGTTCCTGTATTAAGTCAGCAGAAACATGTAATTCTATTGTTTTCATTTGTTCCTGTCTGTTATATTTTTTGTATGAAAATTGAATTAATAAGAATTAGGCTGTTAGTTTTATCGTTTGTCTTGTTTCTCATTTTTCATATAGCTGACTATACGGTTTCGGTTTTCCTCATTGTTGAAGGCTTAACGGTGACCTATAATTGCTTAATATCAACGTCATTTGAGCTCTTGTGGATATTTGCCTCATTGGCAATCATACCACATCACCTGATTTTTATATTTATTAGGTTTTAATGTGAGAAAGTCGAGCTCTATATTTAATTCATATACAGGTTTTTATTATTACAAGTTTTTCTTACGATCAAGGTGTTTGTTGTGATTATACTTTTATTTGATAGGAAGATTTGTGGATTCAACATAAAAATGAGACAATTCCGAAGACGTACTTCAAATTCTTTTTATAAAATATATGTATTTACTCTGACACAATTTATTTCATATATCTAACGATATTGTTAAATTTGTTTAAGTTTAACGGAATTTACCTTAATTCAAAATCTTGTTTTGCAGCATGGAATTGGTGTTGTGCCTGGACCATCGTAGCATTCATTTCTTTAGCGCTACTTTGACGAGACTCTCGTAATTGTTTCTGTAGCGTTAATATCTCATTTTGCATTTCTACTTTTTCTTGATGCATCGTTTCGTCACACCATCGCCTTCAAACATTCCATGTAAATAATGTTTACTTTTTTCACATGTTAAAACAAATAATTAAGACAAAGACAGGAGCTTTTTGAATCAGCGTTGAAAACCTTACATAAGCTAAAATGAAGAAGAAGAAAGGATCAAAGGATTCATTGTGTTCATATTGCTTAAATCATATCCTACAAATTCATTGACTGATGTCTCGTCTGCATCCACTTCTAACTGTTTTCAGTTTATTCACCGTTCAATAGAATATCATGATGGTTTCAAGAATTTACACTTAGGCTACTGAATTCTTAATTGGTAAGTTATCTAAACATTGTTCTACCATATTTAGCAGTTTGTTTTGAATACATTATAATTACATTGTTTTTGGTATTATATAACTTTCCAATTGATTCCCTAATAAATCCATAAAAAAACTTCAGATCGTCTCTGACATTGATTTAAGGCGTATTGCTTCTGCAAGAATAAAATATAGGCTTATTTGTTTGAATTTCATTCCATGCAATTAAATAACAGCAGGGTCAAGTAGGTCTCGATCATTGCATACGACTTCCCAAACAGTTTATTACATGGCATTTTCATATAAGATGTATTATAAACCCTAAAACAAGATATCAGCCGAAGAGCCGAAGGATCGAGGACTGATATCCACCGAGGGCTGATGTGTGTTTACTCATTTTAGACATACCTTAATTAATTGTTTTAATAATTTGAACTTTGATGCACTTTCATAGAACATGGTATTATTTGTTTCATGATGATATCTTCCTATTTCCTAATGTTTGTCTTTTGCTCTGGCCTGCTGTGCTGCCTTTTTCAGTTAAAAACGCACCGTTTTTGTATATATTTCGGAATTTGCTGAGTGACGACGAATTGCCATACGATATCGTTATTATTATTAGACTAAGTTATTTACTCCCTGTATATGATAATTTATATATAAAATGAACTCCATTAAACTGTACAAAATTGTATGTATTTACAGTTATATCAGGACATTACACAGCTATTCTTTTTCAGTGCATCTTTTATCATTAGCATGTTTTTTTTTACACAATGTAACAGAATATAACACTGTTGTGCTTTTAGCTGAATATGAAGGTAGTATATAGACGGGCTTTTTATATCCAAAATTAAGAAACAAAACAATCAAACATCAGAGTAAATAATTTGGTTATTTACTCTTAACAGAGTGATGCATGATATGTTGACAGGGTAGGATTTTTCTCGTGTAATGTTTCCCATATACCCAAGTATCTAAGCATATAATTATCATACATACTGATTATTTGCCATAGTTGTTAGCGCCTGCGCAATGAAGTTCATGCTTTCTGTAAATTCTCTCATTTTCACATTCCCGTAAGATGAATACCCAAATACATTATCAGATACATTACATCCGTCTGTATTACTTGCAAATAAACATAATCGGGCAGCCATTGCCAGCATAAAATGGTTTTCTTCTTGTAATTCTCTGTAGAAGAAAAATGAACTACATGTAATCAACAGCACGGTTTAAAGAACTATTCAGTATCTTAACAATTTAGTGAAAGAAACATTATAAAACCGACCTTAAAAGGTAATTTACAGTCTTTTCCAATGATATCAACACAATCAAAGTTACAACTACGTAAATGTTGACAGCATTGTGTCATATACCGCATCATTAAATCAAATACTGCATCCTAACTTCCTTTAAAAAGAAATGTTCACGCTATGTTTTAATAATATCAAAATATATATCTCGCATGAAAAAGGAAGTTTTCTAGATCAAACAGAGAATCATCCAAAGTTGAACAAGTTCTATACAATTCATATACAAGAATAAAAGATACTTGATTTTTACTTGATCCCTCTTCCACTGGTAGTACAGTTCATTGCAATTGTTACAGTCATAACTTTCGTCATCAATGCTGTTCCTTAAAGAAAAGAGATGTAATAAATATAATCGCAAATGCTACATTTTTATTAAGATTTCCATATTTACAGTAAATCGTGTATACAGCATTTACATACGTACACCATATATCTATTATGAGACGTCATTAAACCTGTTGGGAACGTTGCTAATAAAATGTCCTTAAGCGACAGTTTTTAACCAACAGCTGCAGCTATTTAAGCTATCTTCCAGTAGGCCAGGTTAGTCGTCATCGTGTTGGTATCTGGTCTGTGAATGTTTTATTGGAATGTGTGTTGTAGTTTAACGACAAAGGGTCAAGATAAGCAAAAGGGCAGTTTTATGTGGAGATAAAACTGGTTTAAACCTACCACATTTTGGACCTGTTACGAGATATATGGATCATTGCATTTGTTTTCGTGTCTTTTTTCGGAGAAGTCGGGTATTGGTGCAGGTGTAGACTCTTGCAATGTCCTTTTTATCCAATTACTATTATTCTTTCTGTCTATTTTGAATCAGTTGCACTTTTGTTGCATGAAATAGAGAGGCGAAAGATACCAAAGAGATGTTCAAACTCATAAATCGAAAGCAAACTGACAATGATGAAGGCATGATCTTGTTTCTTTATAAGGAGAAACTAAAATAAGTTTTGCTTTATATGCTTGTGTGATTTGAAAGACACAAAGAATGTGACAGGATTAAACGTGTTTGTGAGCGCTAAACTTCCCACATATTCTGTGACAGTGGTTTTACAATAAAACTTAAGATGAAACGGTAAAACTAAGTTGGAAAGGACTTGCCGTATCAAATCGGTACTATAAAACATACAAAAAATAACAAAAAGACAAAGACACAAAAATTGCGATGCCAGAAGTGACGTATTGGCATGATGTAGGACCATAAGTGTTTACCATATATGATTAGTTTGTATTGAACAATCTAAAATAAATACCAATTTAGATAATATAAAAGATCTTAATAAAATGTAAAATTGAGAATCTTTAAAAATAAGTTTATTCAAAGGACAGGTAAGTTTATCTACAGTTACGAGCTCTATAAACAACATCACTATATACTATATTTCCCTTGTTGCGATGTATCCGCCTTTGGAATTTGTCTTTGTGTGGAAGAAAAAAGGCAAACAGCAAAAAATAATGTTACCCTCAAACGAGATTTTAAAATGTCCTTTAATCATAAATAGTTTAGTTTTTTCGAAATTTGTCCCTGTCTTCCATGTAACAGATTTTTATGGAATATTTAGGATTTATATGATAAGGCGTGATTTCAATATGATATCTTTTACTCTAAATGATGTAGAATATATGAGTCAATAAAATTTTGTCATTTTATATCAAATAATTATCCTTCCGAATTTTTTTAACATATTAGGATCCTAATTAAGATTATAAAAAAACGAGCGCTATGCGCTCTAAAATCTGCATGATTAGATTACTTACGATGAATCTACTTTCGGTGAAAACATTACAACCTTCCCAGTTCTTGGGTCACACTTTGCATGGATATTGTGCTTGAACTCAGTTGGCCCCGATATATTCATTTCTTTTACATCTGTCATTAGAGATTTAGATTTACATAGAACAACATCTCCAATACTAGGGTCGTATGTAGCATGTATGTTGTGCTGGAACTTGGTTGGTTTCGAAATATTCATATTTATCTCTTTTCATTTAATGACAGGAGAATAACCTGAAATGTTACTGTTCATTATACTGATACTGAACATAAAGGTTAGTGATGTGTTTGTTAATTGGGACCGATTACCAATAACTCAGAAACTAAATAAAGGTCCAAATGACTTTTATGTAAAGTCTTTGAGTCAGTGGTCGAGTTTACTAGTATATCAATACTAAATATAATACGCGATTCTAAAGCATAAGTTTCAAATCATTATTTGCTTGATAGAAGGTGATTTTTACTTGGAAGCTACTGAACAAAGGTTAACTAAAAAGAAAGATCAAGGGATGCTTTTAGGAACAAGTATGCCGATAAAGAAAAATCTTATAGCGTGTCATAAATGATTACATATTTTTTATGATTCATAGCCACAATGTCTATTTACTAATAAACGTAATTGACCCTGTAATAAGAGATTCTTTTTAGCTGTCTTCCTTAGGAGGGACATGGATTTTCATTGACAACGGAGAGCTAGTGAAAAGAGCAAATTTATCTGTGCGTAATGTGTGTAGCCTTTAGGTTTTTCAAATGTTTTAAATACATTTAGTTTTTTATTAAGCTAAAACTATTGATATCAGTAATTATGTTTCACAAAAAATGGTTAACACACCGATATATCACTTTTAACTGATCATGCTTTGCGTGGGCAGAAGTCATTTTTGTCCGATATCGGTGGCACGGTAGTATTTCCTGGCCCATAAGGATAATGATAGCCTTTTTAGAATTTTCACCACTTTCTAATACTGCCCAAAATTCTTCATACACAGTTAACTGAAGTACTTTCATGATAATATTCAAAAACTAATTTGCATATGTATGATGACCGTTTACGTTTTTTTCGCTATCTTTATAAACTAAAAGTCACTAGAGTTTTAGGTCTTTTATCATGCAGCGAATACAAAATTTAAAACAATTCTCAAAAATTCATTTTCACCTGTATGTAAAATTATTTCATATTTTTCTACAGTTTATTCATCCCTCAGTTTGGGAAAGTATGTTCAGTAGATACTGTATTTTTGTCCAATCATACTGTGCATATACATTGACTTAAATAGGGTACACAAAAGAGCAACCTACATTCTGGAATGTAAATACTACCGTGTCACCTTAAGTACCAGTCTACGCTTGAAAAGGAAAGTAATTTGTGTTAAAAGTGTGTTATAACATAATCAAATCGTTAATTGGCAAATGGACTATTCCGGTTTCCTCTCTTGGTTCATGTCTAACAACGAATGCAATCTACCACTAGTCTATTGCATGTCATCTTTTACTTTTTGCTATAGCTCTTTACAGAAATTCATTTCCGGGATTATGAAAGTTACCCTAAACCTAAAGTTTGAGGCAAGCTCTGCACTGCAGCGTATAATATAGATATAAGAAGATGTGGTATGAGTGCCAATGAGACAACTCTCCATCCAAGTCATAATTTATAAAAGTAAACCATTATAGGTCACAGTACGGTCTTCAACACGGAGCCTTGGCTCACACCGAACAGTAAGCTATAAAGGGCCCCCAAAATTACTAGTGTAAAACCATTCAAACGGGAAAACCAATATTTATTACTATAGTAAACTTGAAAATAAAAGAGCAAATATGAATACATATTAATATCTATCACCATCAACGACTTGCACCCACAATCACTTGTTTCTATCCATATGGAGGTCGACTATCCATATGTTATGTACAGTCGACCTTCCCTTAATTGAAACAAGTGCCTGTGCTTACCCCATCAACGACTTGAAACAAAGAGGAAGGGAATAATGATAATTATTAATTAATTTTGACATCAATTGTTTTAAGAACTCCTGTGTCACTATACTGATAAACGATGTTTACGTATTTGACATTACAAATGCGGATGTGCCTGCTGGAAATTTAGCCGACTCCATTGAAATCGACAAATGTTTTATTGACCTACATTTATAAAACAGGTATATAAAACATCCTCTTTTTTCATTTAGTATTATTATCACAAAAAATATAATAATATGGATAAGAGTGAAATATCAAGAGAGTCTATACTAATGCCGTCTTAATCCGGGTGTACTTACCATATATCTATCAAACTTCCGTATTTCTATACTGACCTACATAACTTTCACCAAATAAAATTAAACTTCCCCAACAATAAAAATATGACAAAATAAATATTAAAGGATTTTGTTGATGAGTCATTTTTGATATCATTTATGAAATATCTCAATACTATCGGAAACACATAAACGTGTTATACCTGAGTTTGCTGTTTTTGTGGATGTGATAACAAGTGTAACATGAACAGATTTTGTATCTATTTTCTTTTTTGAATTATTATTTAAATAAAATTTCTTAATCTTTCATTTTCCTCTTGAACAATCCGTAAATAAAGGCACACAATCGTTTGTTATATGTTTATTAAATTCACAATAGTTGCATTTAAATAAATTTACACATGTTATACAGTAGTAATAAATGCATATATTTGCATTTAATTTTGCGTGGAAATGTAGTTTATTGATAACATTAATTAAGATGCAACAAAACTGAACTTGACAAATATTTTCAAACCTTTATCAAAATTTATCATGGTTATCTTCAACCATTTTTTGACAAACGGGATGACTTTCTTTTCCTATAGTTAATTTTTCTTTCCGTTAAAGAGATGTGAAGTGGGCTTTTTTTTTTAGAGTGTACATTTGTCATTTGTATGATATTGATAATACATAAAAAGGGACATACTTTCCAAGAGCGTGATATTTTTATTACTAAAACATTGTACCATAGCAATAGGGATATTATAAATAATCTATTAATTTTACTTAATGTTAAAGCAAAAACAGGGATTTTTTGGCAAAGGTACGGTTCCAAAAATTATTTTTTGTATACCCAGCCTTCTTTTTGGAAATATAAGTCATAAATCAAACAAATCTAGTAGTCGGCCTTCAATTTTATCTTTTTGCTAAATAGACTTGATAAATGTAACAGTCATACTGCTATTGAAAAAAAAATATTTGATTTGTTTTTGGAGGTTATTATCAATTTTCTAATTGATATTATGGAACAAGACTTATAGGTTTTTGATTTTTGTTTTTTTAATACTGCAATTCTATAACGATTCCTATGGACATTGCTCAAAACATTGTCTTTATGTGCTTTTCGTAACGTATCTGCATAAAAATGACTTGAAAGTACATATTAAATACTTTGAGTTTGCCCCCAGTATCATTGAAACTTTGATATGGTTTTCAGAAACTTCTAGTATTGTATAATGCGGTATCCTTTAGTATTGCTAAACTTGTACCTGTGTTTCTATTGACCAATAATATGCCATATAATAGAATCGGGAACTCTTTCTAGCTAACACTCTTCTAATGTTTAAGACTTTACGTTGACCTCTATATGTCTTTTAGGTCTTTTGCAGCGTCGGGTTAGTGTCTCAGTATCGATTTGATTCATTATATATCGACTCGTTTTCGATTTTGCGATTCCATTCGAATTTGTTTTCTCTCCTGAAGTTTGTATTTTAAATAAAGTCACATGTTTTGAACATTTGTAAACTACTGTTATTTCTTATTTATCGCTTTAATACCTCACGTCTAATTTTATTCGTTTCTTTAGCAATTATAAAAGATGTTTCATTTACTAAATGTTATCGATGGAACAAAATCATTTCTTTTGTGTTTTCAACAACGTTCATAGAAAAAATATTTTACTTTGAGCGAACTGCTCAAATTGTCATATAAAACATCATAGATTTTTGCAGATTAATACACGATATATTTTTCTTTATTAACCGTTTGTTTTTACTTACGTTTTCGTAACTTTTATTTTTGAATTATGTGTTTATCATATACTTCTATGTAATGTTATATACCATTGTTAGTCCGTGAATCGAGAAATTGGGTTGAGATATATCGGAACTAGACCAACCTCTTTACATATTCATGTATCTGTCTTAGTATTTGTCTAAACTCATATCTACCTATTGATTGCATGTGTTTGATAGAATCTGTTATATTTGTTCATAATTTATTTTTTGATTCGTCACGATTTAGAACCTGTCTTATTGTACAGACACTTGTCTTTGTTGAAGACTGTATGTTTTCCAACATATGTCTGTTAGTTGTCTGTTATTTTTTATTATGATACTGTTAATATATTTTAATATATTTTGACATAACTCTTTGTTAGGAATATATATAGTAGCTGACGTGCATCATTTTATATGCAACATTTTAAAATACCTGACCGGATACTTACTGGTATACATTTTGCTCATTGACATCCGTATGTTTCAATATTTTACACTTTTATATGACTTTTGGCCTGCGGTCTTTCATAAAGGTTCGTATTGTCGGCGGCATTTCTAATGTCAATTTAAGCATAAAAGAATAGAAATATTAATTTTCTTGAACTGCATTGCCACCAAAAATAAATTACCGAAGATGATATCAGCAAAATGCTGGACTTATTGATCCACAACATAGATTTTAAGTTTCGTAGCTTGATATTTTAACACACAGACTGTTTACAAATTGGTAGTAATTGTGCACACCCTACTTGCCGATTCGTTTTTGTACTTATTTGAGGAAGCAAAATGCATAGAAAACCTTTTCAAAGATAAAATGAAAAAGAAACATTCTGCAAAGTTCTTTACTTTCATTTTAAGATATATTGATGAAGTCCTATTGCTCAATAACCCACATTTTAGTCAGTGCTTGCATCTCATATATCACAAAGAACTTGAAATTAAGTATACCAAACTAGAAGATGCTTCATATCTTGAACTTTTCCTTAATACTGACACAGATGGAGATCTATGACAAACATGATGATTTCAACTTTCCAATTGTCCACTCACCTTATAGATACATATTAAGGATGTTCACTACTCTGTTTCAAAATAACAAGCTTTTTAAACGACTGTTATAAATTGAAAGTATATGAATAAAGGAACTAACAAAGCAGAAAAAAAAAAAAAAGTATATCAGACAAAAAGTCAAAAACAAGAGGAGCGAACATCCTTAAGTGTCAACTTTGCAAATAATACATGATGGTCTTGAGTTATAGATTCTATGTGCTAATATTGTGTATAATTTCATTTACTTTGCAGTTTTCCCTTTATCTGTCTTTAAACTATTATGTTCCTTTCTGTCTTATTACTCTTGACTCGGTATTTGTGCATTCAGCTTTAAGTTTTTTTTTTTGCTTTGGTCTTTCATGATGCGGTTGGGTCTAGAGGTGCGGACGCATATAATTTTTGTTTAACAATTTTAATTTTTTTGTGTACCGTTGTATTCAAATTGTACTTAATTTGTACTTTATCGGGAAAGTGTATATGTGTCATTCTTTTCACTTACTGTACTATCAACTACAAAAACTTTTCAGTTGACGTCTTTGTTCGTATTATTTGTATGTTTGTGTTGTATATGTACCATGTATGTATGTAAATACAATTTTGGCTGCTGAATCCAATTAATGGTAATGTTAAACAATTATGTCTGTCTACCCAGCAAACACACAACATTTTAAAAACATTTTTTAAATGTCATATGGACGTCTCTCACAAAATATTTCAATAAGATATCATTTAAACATAAAACAAATGTTTATTTTATTATTTTTGAAACGTTTTATTTCTAACATTTAAGTAAAATGTTTTACAACATTAACTACATATTATTTGCTAATATCTTTTATTCATGTTCTCAAACATTGTTCTAAAATATCCCGTAGATATTTTATAATATAAAAAAATAATATTTTCTTCAATTGGTATTTTATATTTTAACAACATTTAAAGTAAATATTTTCCAAATATCCAAAAAACATTCTGCAAAAAAATGTTTTACAGAAAATATAGTTTTGCTATTTGCATAAAATGTTTTATAACGTAAAATTAAAATGTTTTACATAAAACAACTGAAAAATATCAGCTAAATGTTTTCTATAAAATATTCTGACATACACATTACTTAATAGTCTTACTGATATTTTATTCAACATTTTACGGATATAAAAATAACATTTTATTTAAACTTTATTCAAAACCCCACAAACAATGTTTTGTGGAATTAGCTCGTTTTTTTAGGATAAGATATAGTACTACATTTCATCAATATCATGACAAGCAAGATACTATGGTTGAAATCCTTAATTGATATCTTGAAGATCCTTGAAGTCAGATTTTATTCCTTCTTATATTAAAATTCAAAAGAGTCAACATTAAATTAAGCAATAATGTATTAATAAATAATCACCTTTCTTTAATGTTTATTCATTTCGTTCGTGTATATTTTAGAAATTAAGAAATGAAAACTGTAACTGTACTAAGTTCAATTTTCGTATCGTTTATATGCCTTACGGAAAACCGACCATTTCCGGAATCGACTTTTGTTTTATCACCGGAAATGATTTTGAAATTTGAATTTCGAAACGAAGACAGGATATCAACAAAGAGAGCCAAGAAAATTGTTTGCTACGCGATATATACTCACGTGGTAAAAATGATTAATCTGTTAAGATGAAACTTGTGCATTCATTGTGTGTGTTCAATCATAATCGGAACCAAATTACATCTGTTTCTGAAGGTGCGGATCAAGGTTTTGAAAAAGGGGGGCCCCTGCCCAAGGCAAGCAAACGTTTGGAGTGATACTTGTAAATAGTCTTATACATTTATCTTATAAGTAGCTCCATAAGGGGGTCGGGGCCCCTAAATCCGCCACTGTTCAAGCATCTACGTACACCAATTATGAATTTGTTCATTGATATAAAAAAATTATAAGGATATGTGGCTTGTGTGTTTGATTGCCAATACACCTTATCGCTATTTGTCCGCCATTACTGGCCATGGACATCACAAAAGTTCCCATAAAATATTGACGTCATATTAGAAAATATTTAACACCACAATTGAAGTAATACACCTTATCGCTATTTGTCCGCCATTACTGGACATCACACAACTGTCACAAGTTCCCTTAAAATTTTGACGTCATCATAAAAAATATCTGATGCCACAATGGAAAAGTGATTGTTGTTTGACGTCAAAAGTTCAAGCAGAATAGATTCTCGGGTCAAGCGGGAATAGCGATAAGGTGTATTATTGTATGACGTATGCTGACGTAAAAAGTTTCAAGCAGGACAGATTTCCAAATACTGAAATAGAGATAAGGTGTATGAGACAGCTATCCACCAGAATTTAAATGACTTGGATAAAAGAAATTATAGGTGACTGTACGGCTTTCAAAACTGAGAAAACCAATGCCATATTGTCCACTTTGAAGCCTTGACAAACAAATGTTAAATTTTTCTCAACACAATTGAAACAAAACAACTAACTGCCTACATTAAACACACATTATGAAAAAGAAATTTGACAGACTTAAACCAACAACAACTATTGCAATAAGCATGACTCAATACCTTGTTTCCGAGGCACACAAACAAGTTACAATAACACTAATATAAGCACCATTTGAATATGGAGATTTTTTTTTCTAGTAAAATCAGTGTATGTATGTATTTGCAAAACAGTAAATTAAACTTCCCTTAACAGCTTAATGAACATTACAAAGACTATGTAAGCCTTCAGTACAAGCAAGATAATATAAACTGTTGCTTAAAATTATATTTATTGCTTCATACACACAATGTACATACAATGCATCTTTTATTTTTTAACAGGAGCTAAAAGAAAAGCCACAAAGGTCAAGTTCAATATGCAGGTTTACAATTTGGAAGTGGCGCAGGTTCTTTGGAATGTCTACAACCTTTCAGGAGAATTTTTTTTTGAAGTAAGATTTTCATACAGAATTACTGTTATTCCATATTTAATTCAAATATTTAGCCTAAACAATGCATTACATTCAAGATTTGGGGCATACAATACAGAAAAGATATCTGGATATTTGAATAAATTATTTTTTTTTGTGACAAAATAGAAACAAGCTGTTTATTTAAATCAATCTTTTAGTCCAACAGTGTGCTTTCATAAACAACATATTTGCTTTCCTTTGAAGTATTTCAAATACATATAAACAACTCATTTAATGACATCTGTGTGTTTCTCGGAAGTTAAGTTATATTATTATCATCATTGCGAAAACAATGCATAACACTTCGATAAGTTATTATCTGCCTATAGTATACTTCTAGGACTGTATCATATGCCCTTAGATACAAATGACAAGTTATAAACTATGTCACTCTACAGAGTTTAACACTTAAAAAGGACAATAAGATGTTTAATGACATTATGTAGCAGGGCTTTTAAAGGCCCCTACATGATACAATGCATTTATTGAAAACAAAAAAAAAACAAGAAAAACAACAGCCTGATTTATACAAAACAATAAGAGAAAAAAAATATGATAGACAACAATCAACGAGTATAATAAAATAAGACTCTTGACTGGACACATATCTAGTCTAAAGTTTTTTATGTGTTTTTTTTTTAATAACTAAATGAAGTTTAGCGTGGCATATTGCTCTCTCTTAACACGGTCAGCCATTTATCGTCCCCTTCCGACAGACTATCATCGTTATTTGTTTCAAAACTTTAAAGGGGAGGGGATGTATATCCTTCAGGCAACGTGAATCGTTCTATAATAAAGGAATGTGCAAAAAGTTTATATATGAATGTAAGATTAATTTTTTTTTTCAGAAGCATGGCACAGCAAGAAAAAGATATAAGACACTACAAGACATTCCAAGTGATTCTGAATAAGACAATTGATTGACTTTTTCAATGTATTCTTAAATAAATCAAATAGTTGATGTAAAATGGTGTTTTGTTCTCATCTCGTCAGCCAATTATCAATGATAATTGACTTAAGATGTAACCCTATTAGAAGTGTAGCGTTTTAGTTTAGAAAGAGAAGTTGTATTGAAAATCTGAATTTGGGACACAAGTTTTAGTCAATGTAACTTGAACTTAAAAATGTGTATAATGTTTGCATAATGTCCAATGGCATATATGTCATGCATGTTCAGGTTGACATATGCATGATGTGTATAAGATAGGTAATAAAAGTTTAGAGTGAAAAACTAAACATTATACCATTGTGATTGGAATGTGGGCTTTCTTGCACTGTCTGTCGTCTGTCCACCTATATTTGTCGGATTTTGTCCAACAAATATGTTCATCACTGTTTTTCCCAAAACTGCTGATAAAGATGAGTTCATATTTAATGAGCTGCTTGATAGTGATGAACTGTGATGTGTGAACATTTTTGTATCTGGCACCTGTTTCCTGTTTGCTTATACATTGTATTTCAAAATGTTGAATGTTCTCAAATTTTTCATTACTTTAATTAGTAATGCTGATGAACAGAATGACTTCATATTTGGAAAGTGGCTTGACCATGATGAGTTGTGTCTGCCATTTTGGATGTGTCAAAATTTGTAGATACTTCTTGTTTTTAGAGACTTTGAATTGTGAATTTCATATGCTTAGCAAAACAACTGATTTATTCTTGTTTGTATATAGAATTAATCACTGTGTATAAATTAATTTAACTAATGATTTGTTATTTAAAAAAGCAGGAAACTCAATCAAAAGTACAGAAATTTTTATATTGATATGATCCAGATATCAACCAAAAACATCTTCTTAAAACATTTTGAAAACATTTTTTAGGCACAGTCTCACTTGCAAGAAAACATCCAAAAACATTTTTATAACAATATTTGATGTTCATGATGTTTTTCAAACGTTCAGAAAATATTTCTAGAAAATATTTTTTAAAAGATTATCAAAATGTTTTATACGTTGTTTTTCACATTATCATGATATTTCTTTACAACATTTTAATTATATTATGCAAATATTTTAGAAAATATATTAGAAAACGTTTTAGCGATATATATTCTACCATACATTTAATGTTTTTCTCACGTTTTTTTGTGATATTTTCATGACATTAGACACAACATTTTAAAAACATTTTAAGGATGTTTTTGTGTTTGCTGGGTAGGTAATTCACACAATTTTATCAATATAACGGAACTATAAACAACCAACTCTCAGATAAAAAGTAAAATCACAAAAATACTGAACTCCGAGGAAAATTCAATCGGAAAGTCCCTAATCACATGGCAAAATCAAATGACAAAACGCATCAAACGAATGGACAACAACTGCCATATTCCTGACTTGGTACAGGCATTTTCAAATGTAGAAAATGGTGGATTGAACCTGGTTTTATAGCGCTAAAACTCTCACTTGTACGACAGTCTTATCAAATTCCGTTACATTTACAACGATGCGTGAACAAAACAGACATTATAAATAAAATAGTCAAAATATGGGTACAGCAGTGATCACTGTGTTACAATATCAAAACAAACAATTATTTACAAAAAAGCACAAAATCAGAGGTTAAATTGGGAGATTTAGCTAGCTTAAAAACCAGGTTTAATCCACCATTTCTTCATAAAATGCGTGTGCCAAGTTATAAATCTGACAGTTGGTTTCTGGTCGTTCAGCTGGTTGATATAGCCTGGCATTTAGTTTTGTCAGATTGTATGGACTTTCCTCATTTTGAATTTTTATTTTTGTTAATACTTTTTTCGATTTCTAAACAATAGCATACCCTCTGCTCCATCTTGTGGTGTTTTCATATCTATCTCAATTGATACTTTTTGATCGCGCATGTTCAATACGGACTTAATGAGCAGGTTTTTGCTCCGTACATTAAAACTGCCCCAACAGTGTTATGTTTCACTGTCACCTTCACGAATTTGTTGTTTGTCTGTTCTGTCTGTGTATCTATTCCATAGCAAAATGTTTTCGAAGTCTTATATCTTTAGACTGTAATTTTACCGATTGTGTCCTATTCACGATTGTGTCATTCTGACTGAGTATGTATTAGCATGCCGGATGATTCATGAATGGCAGGTGACGTTTCACCTGTCTACGCACCCTGTCTCGCTTTTTTTATAGTTCATACAATTCCTTCAGTCTTTGTTCGCTACATTGATTTGATTTTCTAATCGATTTATGAGATTTGCACATAAGTAAATAGCTATTGCCTTTACTTATGATTTTTATTGTTCACTCCGTTGTTTTCAGACATCTATAAGAAGTCATGATCTTTCTTTTGTTATTTTAAAAATTAAAACAGATGATGAGAAGTGGATAAGAACCAATGAACTACAATAAGGTACCTTCACTGTGTATGATTCGCATATTAATCTTACAATTCTTCCTTATATTTAACATATTCTACATATTCCTTGCAACAATGCAAACTGGTTAAATATTGAAGGTCACGGTGAATCAGATGGTGGCGTACACCTTACGACTAGATCAATGCTCAAACCCTGGGCAACTGTAGTTTATAAAATCTTTATCGCTCTTTCGGAACATTATACATCATTATGTCTAGCCGTGAGTGAAAATGTTTGGTACATAAGCATCATTTACTAGTCATCAAAACGAAATACCTTAGAATCAATATTTTTATTATATAAATTCACAATTAGTGTTAAGCAATCCAGTATTTATTATATGTCATAGAATTTTTCCCTTAACACTGCTACATTCACATTGTATGCAATTGTATGCAGTTGTTTCATATTCCGACCGTGGTATATACATACATGTTTTAAACAGGTAGTTTCAAATGTAATTCATTGAAATTTTTGTTATGCCAATATTGGAAAAATAACATTGAATATATTCATCGACAAATATTGGCCGTTGTTTACAGATAGTTTAACAAAATGGAATGAAAATCATCATTTTGAGAGCCTGACTATGCGTTTGTATATGAACTTCATATGAATATACAATTTTATATGATGGTGTTACATCAAAGTCAGTTTGCAACTTTGACATCCATGTACAAATATATCAAAAAGGAGGGGAACGGTCGAGATAACTTCACTTAAACAAACCAAATTCATATTCGTCCTATTATACTTGCACCATTCATTATCTATATAACAAATAGTACTGCTTGCAAGTCTCAATTTCTGAAATAAGATTTTTAAACCACAAAATTTAATTGAATTTTAAAATCAAAGTCAAAATCAATAGCTCTTATATTTTTTTCTCTGTTTTCATCATAGTAAATAAGAAATTCTGACTCATAATATATTGAAAATATAAACACATAAAGGATTCAAATCTTTATATTCAGTGTTTTGCTTTAAAAATCAGACCAATTATTGTGGAGTTTTTGTTCTTCTTAGGGGTCAGTGGATTTTAGTTTAATCTGTTTGTTTGAGAAGTATGTACTTTTCTAGTGGACCACTGAAAAGAATTTTGATAACATACCGAAGATCTATAGTAAAATAAAGCAAGAGACAATGCAAATAAAGGGCGATAAATGTGATAAATAAACAAATATGTACATGAAAAAAACATACACATATAACTGGTACTAAACAAATCACATGGAGCGCAACCATAGAAAATAATACGGAAGAGTGAAAAATTGATAACCATGAACTAATCAATACCTTATCATGTGTTTTTATTATGTCTCTTTCAACAGCAGTAATATAGGTAGAAGCCATATTTCTACAGATAAGTAAGTTGATTTTCTGTGGTCTATACCATGATAAACTTGTGTATATATAAATAGCAAAACAGTGATATTTTGAGAATTGAAAAACTGGTATACGAATTACTCCTTGAATACCAATGCTGGCGATTGCCAACAGATACAGGAATACAATGCAATGATTTATTATTCTCACATATTGACATGTAAAAAGACTAATTGGTAATCCCCCAGTAAAAAGGTATTCGCCAACTGTTCTTAATGAACAAATTATTATTATCAAAATGATAAGACAGCAAACAATATACGGACAAGATGTTAAGGGTAGGATTAATACAACAGCAACAGGGAATCTGAAAAGGGTGTTCCTAGTGCCAAGTTGTATCAAGTGAACTACACGCTTAGGGACATGTTTAATGGAAATTTCATGGAAAGTGAGAACTCGTTTATTTATATCTCCTTCTAATGTAATGCAAATTAGCCATACGTACTGCATAATGAATGATGACATTAGCACTGAGTCATCTTTTAGAGCTTCGAAGGCCAGAACTATTAGTGATATGATAAAAAGAACATTACGTAATAATGAAGGTATGTTTAGCCATTCGTATGGTTGCTTTATATACTGTAAAAATAATTTTAATCCATTCATATCCTTTTTCGGTAGCAACGGTAATCCAAAGCTTAGTATAAGAAGTACAGTAAAAACGAAATACATCGGCAAAAACAACTCTCCTATCGTATTGAATGACATCAAACACATTGATATCAGTGGATGAAGACTTACCCATTTTTCTCTACTGGACCTTTGCATTTCATTGAATTTTGTTGCAATTAAATGTTTTATAGCATTTGCATATGACATAAACTTTTCGAACGACGTTTCTGTGTTGCCTATCGGAAAATCGTAAAGAAAGAAGGATTTCCCAATTTGTATCTCCCCTTGAAACTCCTCATTCAGTGAGTAAAATTCAATAATTTTTAATAAGGCATTTCGTCGTTTTTTAACATCTGTCAGTCTTCCGTAATTTTCATATTCTGCCAAAAGACCCTCATTAATTGACGAGACTATAATTTTCCTCTCACGAAAATATCTCAAAGCAGCTAACAAGTTCACAAAAAATGCCATACAACTTTCATCTAATGAATAGTAAAATGTTATTTTGTAAATCACATTCATGTAGTCTAACAGTTCTTCCGTCGAAATATCTATATCACAAATGTACCTCAAGTTTTCTACATGGCGTTCCTCAGTTATTGTTCTCACAAGAGGTTTGCTTTTTGTACCATCTATTACCATTTCTGCAGTGTGGTAAAAATCGTATTTGTGTATGTTAGATTCAATGAATGAAGTCCACGGACTAAATACCACCGACGTGTGTGAGCATATATCAGAACCACGGAGCTGATAGAGAGAATATCTTCTTTTTAATTTAACATCTAAATTAATGTCCACATGTCTCCCAGACACAGTGTACAGGAAATCATCGAACATATCATCCATCGATGAACCTGAAAAATTGTGTACAATGTAGCGTATCATTAATTATATTTAATGTAGCGTATTTTTATACATGTTTGCAAGATAAAAGTTATTTATCATTTATGAAATCGAACTGCAAAGCTACTTAAGTAGATATGTGACGCTGTTTTATAAATAATCAATTTGTCAGTTAGTCAATAAATCTCATGATAGATTTATGGTTAAATACATAGTTTCTTCTCATGCTACAACTGTTTTATATAATTTTGTAACCCCTATTGTCTTCCTTTAGGCTCTGCAAACCAATGCATCTCAATATTTTTCTTTTCAAAAAGTGAAAATTTACATTTGCATACATACTATAATTCAATAAAGTTCTAATTTGATTTTCATACAGTTAGTCATTAATTAATTCCTATTTGGTCAATAATATCCGTAGCAGATGACATGTGTCGTTATCAGAATCTATTAGTCGTTTCAGCGGTGATATATTCTTTTTTCATCTACAAAAGGATAATTAACTTGCTAAAAGCATGGCACACTTTAGAAGCGTAATTCATTATTATGAAAATAACAAGACCTATCATAGTAGAGTCACCGGTAGTCGGAGGGAGTTGAAAATAGGTAGAAAATCTAACAAATCCCTATAATGATACGTGTACACAACACAAAATATCGAGACCAGTCCCCTTTGTATAATAGTGCTGAACACAATAACCCCTTTTAATTCTGAGGTTATCTACTTTGTCAAGTTTATGTACAAGTACAAAACTCATGGACGGTAAGTCATATGACTCAATATTCCCCCAACGGGAGAATGATTATCAAACAATTATAAAAGATAAGACAAAGTAGATTGCCCTTGCTGATTGTGTTGTTTATTAATATACAAAGAGAGTTTATACATGTACTTACGCTTACGAAATTTTAAAACAAAGAGGGAAGGACCTCAAGTTATTTTGTAAAACACGTCCTTTACACAGCAAACAAAGCCACATTTGGTCGTTGTGTTTCATATTGCTATACAAAAGACGATAACTTGGTGTCCTTGTTTTCAGAACTTACTGGCAAAGGTGGCATTAAAACGTTAATCAATATAATACAAAGGGAGCGCCCTGATTATGACATATATTGTAAAAGGAATTTCTTACTATATACTGATTTCATACTTTGTTTTCAACTATTTCCCTTCCTCCTGGCCTTGTCCTGATTCCTAAACGATAAGTAAAGTAAGGCTAATAGGTTTCAACTATCTTTATATTCTTAATTCGAAGTTTACCATTTTCGTAATCATTTATTCCAACGTCCCAGATCGTTCTTTGGTTGATGATCAATTGAATATTTCGCTGATAGGAAATGAAGTTTTAATTTTTGGTTGACTGTGCACATCCTATTTAATGGGTAATCAAGTGGCTTATATTATCACTTCTTTAAATATTGTTATATGGAACTCCTTAATGTTTGACTCGTATTCGAAGAGAGGACTCTACTGATTATTGGGTCAAAGTATAGCATTTTTAGTCAAGTTTGATAATGCAAAACAAATAAAATAGATGAAAGTATCATATTATAATGTAATCGTTTACTTCTAATACTGCATGCAATTATAACAGCAGGATAAAGGGGTTTTAAGTACAATTGGTTTGAAATACTTCTATGAAAACAAATTTTGCATGTATGACCAACCTCAAATCAAAATTGTACTGGAAGTTAAGACATCTGGTATTTTTGGTATATATAAGAAGCTTGTGGAGAACATTCAGGTAAAATAATCAACACAACTGACTGTTATGCAGCAAAGATAAACACCTTCAAATTTAAGTAAAAAGGCAAATTCAAACTGACCTCATTCCTATTAAAAACATTTTTAACTTGATAAAACAAACAAACACTTGAGTTTCACTTGACATGGTCCACTAAGTTACACAGTTTAAGTTAAACAAAATGAGGATGTTAAATTTGATGTATGCCTTTTTGTTCTTCTTTGTTACATTTGTTTGTTTTTATAGTGATTAAGATGATAACACAATGTTGACTGCTGTACCCCTATTTTTGACATTTTTACCTATTGTGTCAGTTTGTTTTGTTCACGCATCGTTGTCAATATAATGGAATTTGATGCGACTGTCATACAAGTGAGAGGTTTAGCTAGATATAAAACCAGGTTTAATCCACCATTTTCTACATAAGAAAATGCCTGTACCAAGTCAGGAATATGACAGTTGTTATCCATTCGTTTGATGTGTTTGAGCTTTTGATTTTGCCATTTGATTAGGGACTTTCCTTTTTGAATTTTCCTCGGAGTTCAGTATTTTTGTGATTTTACTTTTAACATATTGTTTTCAAATATTTATATATTTTCTTTCTATTATCCGTATCCATCAATACAGTTCACTTATATTATTACATCTGGGGAGGTTTGCAAACATCTTTCCAAACTTTTTTTATTTTGGCGATTTTTGGAAGACAAAAAAATTGCTCAGCAAAATTCCGATCGGTTTTTTGAAACATAAAACATTTGTAAAATGCATTTGAATTTTATAAATCAAGGTTCCATGTCTTAAATTTTTCCAGGTGCACAGGTAGGTATGTATTCAAAGAAAATGTTGTGGAGTAAAGTAAACACGGACAGCTTAGTCTAAAGGTAAAGACAACCTTAATGCGGAGAGAGAGAAAGCCCACATATATTTACAAAAATCGAGACAGCCTTTAAAATCATTTGAAAATATCTTAATCTTTAATCTTTTTTACTAAACATTTTCCTTTTTTTTTTTATCTTAAACATACATCACTTTTTAAATAAGTATATCTTCACAAAGACAAAACTTTGTATCTAAGATATTCAAATGGCGTGCTCGGAAAACTTGAAACAAGCTAGGTAGATTTCAGGGGAATTTGTACCACGCTAAGGACTATGTTGAAAACTCTTCAAATTTTTAAATTGGAAGATCTTTATATTTTGTATGTACAGGACTCTGTATAAAAATCTTATATCACCATTCCGATACAAAAACTAAACCGCTGACATTTTTTTGAAAAATCTGTTCTGCAGTGTAATGAATATCAACCCAGGGAAACTTAACTGTGTTTTTGTGTCAGATTTTGAACCTGCTAACTATCAGAACAAAAATGTCGATATTTCAGTATAAAGATTACAGAACATACCAAGGGGCAATAAAACCAACTATTTAAAGAAAACCAGACAACAACTTGGCCCAAAAATAGGGAAACAGAAAGACAATTATCGAAAAATGACCACATACAACCACCTTAAGTTTAAAAACACAAACCCGCCAAAAAATGGGTTAAATCAGACGCTGGGAAAGGGTGAGCACTTTCTATTCACCTACAGGCATTTGTCATGTTATTTATATTGAGTAAAACTAAGTTAATAAATTGAATTGGGTTATTTAATAATTGAAGAAAGGAAGAAAAGGTTTAAATTTGCCTGCGCACAAAACCTTTACAAAGTTACTAGGCTTATTATTTAGTACACAAACAGCGCGTTTCGTCTTCACAAGACTAGTATGTGTTTCACAAAAAAAGTGAACTGGTAATATGGAAACGTGTACATTGGTCACTTTTTTTCTTTTTTTTTTCATAGGAAGACATTTATCCGACTGTAAATCATACCTCTGACTTTTAATTAGATAATCATCAAGTAATTAGGATTTAACTGTACCTGTAAAAAATAATTTATAGCTTTGCATCGATCAGATTGACAGTCAAATCTTAATCACGCAATTCAATGGTTTAGGAAGAGTTGTGTCTACAAAATGTGGACGACCGGACGAACGAAAATTCCGGCATTCTACTATATATCCGGCTACCCTGAGCAGGTTAAATATAGTTAAATCAGTACAAGATATCATTTATTTTACAAAAAACATCAGTTGCAACAGAATGTATCATTATTTCTTATATACTTAGTTCTAATTGTAAATATTTAAATTTTGTTCTCTTAATAGTTCTAAGATGAATGAAATTATACGGCTTGCAAACCTGATATATTGTCGCTTTTGTGTGCAACCTCTGTATGCCGTATTAATGCTTCCAGTGACATTGGTGGTAAACATTCACATCCGCTTTCACCGCAAATAGTACCTCCTTTCCAGTCTGTTAAATCATGCATCTCAAGTTCATTGTGTTTTTTGTAAAAATACGATTCCTTACTTTGCTGTATTAATCTTGCATTACTATTTGTACCAGATCCGGTAAGTTTGTCTGCTAATGTAGGATCTACATTTCTCAGGGGAACTCCGACTAGGACAAGAAACCAAGTCGCAAAATCCTGACAGTTCCAGCAGTAAACCCAATATCTACCAAAGTTAAGAATAATGTCAACTGCACACTGCATCACCTGTCTTAAAGTTGTGCTTTTCTTGTATGCTCCAAAATACTGAACATGATCCAGAAAATTTTCAAAATTGTTTTCCCGAATGTGTTCAAATTTTAATTTTATTGTCCCTTTAGTTGAATGATTTGTATACTGATGCTGACAATAAGACTGAAAATTTCTAAATGCATGACCACAACACTCGTAATGAACATTTTCTCCTTCTGGACCAACGTGTTCAAAAAAATTATGGTTGGCCAGTTTTGAAAAAAAGGGGGTTTGAAAGTTACATTCTTCATTCGGACATTTGAAATTTTTATTAACAGAACATATGTCTTCGTCAACTACAAGTTCAAGTTTAAAAGCGCATTTCTTTCTATCTTCCAGTTTTAAAATCACTGCATGGTGTCCGCCACCTAAATTATTGGCCGCTGCTTGTACAGGTTTTGATATTTTTGTGTCAATTACCGGAAATTTCTTTATTCCAAAAGTTACTGTAATGATGTCATCTAAATGCATTCCTAGGGCCTGCAGCTCTCTGGTGGTATTTTTCCAAAATTTAGCGATATTATCATGACACGCTCTAGGCGCACTGGCAAGGCTGTTCTCCGTTTCCGTCTTTTGCGTTATCTAGAAATATTTTTTACAAATATATTTTCATGTTGTGGTTTTTTACAATTTCAATTACATGTATTTTGTTCATAATGTCCGTATTAAAATCAATTGTTAAACTTTAATTTACTTAAACATGTGTTCTGGTTACTGAATGGGATGTGCAATTAGAATTAAAATGAAATCCTAGTGGATGTCGGATTGTGTTGTTCAAAAAGTGAAACTTCATACAGGCTACATTGTCTCTAAATCATTTTAGCAGTTCCTAAACAATTAGCATCGTGACACAGAATTGCATTTGAAGAATATTTCAAGAATCGATCATTGCATTTTGAATGGGACTGCGTTTTTATTCATTAACATACATAATTTTTATCCTAAAATTTGATACACATATGTGTGACTGTCCAAATAAAATTTATGTAAACGGGTATTTTTTTTGGAAAAATAAATGTTTTAACACAGGCTGTAGATAATACATACAAAGTTTTAGTTTCTTTATCTGTTTTGAATATATTTTTACTAGGGAGTAACCAAGACCTCTTTTGCGTAGCGAAATAGCTCAGAGACTTAATGCATGATGTTTTAATGTTTACTCAACGCATTCGGTCTCCTTTTATTCACATATATATTTTATTGGTATGGTATAATATATATATTTACATATCAAATTTCAGGTTTAAAATTCAAAATACACATAACTACTGTTAAAATCGATCAACCGAAACTACTGAATAATTTTGATTATAGGGCATTAAATATTTTGAATTAGGTTATTTTTAACCAAATATTCAAATGTTAATACTTTGACATTGTATCATTAGATACTATGGTAACAACAATTTCAAATACCACAACAGGATTGTCATAATTATCGATGTACATATTATTAACAATTTGTCCAGTGTATATATACAATATTATATGAACATGCTTAAATTACAATTATGTATATTAATGATCGATATTCTAAAATGTTCGAAGTATCAACATATTTAGTCTCATATGTCTTATTATTCAAGTTAAAATACGTTCATTGTTATTTACCTGATCCATGGTTTATTTTCCAATGAAAATATAGATACAAATGACTGTGTTCTATAAATAAATCGTTGGATACATGCACACACACGTTTGACAGTGACGTCAATATTTTGCTGTTCCTCTGCTATTACTCGAGAGGGAAACTATAGTTTTCCTCTTTTATCGTTATTTTGTTTCTTTTGATTATGTTTCTGTTGATTGGTTTTTTTTTATTATAAATCTATATGGTAAATATATCATATTTTGAAATCTGATGATCAATACTTGTTTGGTTTATTTTTTTATGACAATACTGTTTTTTTACTGTATTACAATAAGTTCTGACGTTTACCCTTTTACACTGAGCGATAGTGAAATTTCTTTTTCGTTTGAGTTGTCACATCATTTCTACAATTTCTAAAACAAGAATTATGTGGCCTTAGTACTGGTAGGTGTCTTTCTGTTCTCATTTGTAAACTTGTGTTCTTTACTGGTCTCTGTGACTTGACGGGGGTCATTATGAAGAATTTAAAGGTTGCTTACTATTCTGTAATGTTTACATTTTGATTCTGAATTAACTGATCAATTCATTAAGATTCTATTTCAACACATTCAACAAAACATCGTTAGTCTATGGAAAATCGTATGGTCAACACCCGGTTGATTCAAACCAGTAAAGTGTGTACTGCTTGCTTCTCCTGCAAGGACGATGCATTATTAATAAGAGAAAATATTTTTTTATCAGAAGTCGGAATTATGTGTTTGTGTGGTATACAATACTTTCTTAGTGTTTCCTTGGGAGCTTGTAATTTTTTGTAAAAATTCATGGTTTATCTAAATGTTAACTTCTATAATACTTATCAGCATGAATATGAAATCGCCAATAAAACAATCATCTGATAGAAAAACAAAGGATATTGGTTATCCATCCAGAACACAAAACCAGTACATGTTCAGCAAAAAACACACAATAAGCAAATCATCTGGTTTATATTGTACCGACATTACAACTTTGTGTAATGACGAACAGAAGATTGTTCAAAGATGCATTTTTCCCCGAATTGTTCAAATTCCAATGCGATTGCCTGTGTAGTTGGATGATTTGTATATTGATGCTGTCAATAGGACTTAAAAAATTTAAATGCATTTTCACTGCACTCGTTAAAACGTCTTCTCCTTTTGTTTTGGACCAACATGTTTGAAAAAAAATGACTGTAGGTAATTTTTGAAAAATAAAGTTTGTTTTAAAGTTGCATTCTTCATTCCGACATTGAAAATTGCCATTTATTTAACATATGTCTAGGTTAATTTCAAATTCAAGTCTGAAAACGCGTTTGTCATTTTAGTGTTATATTTAATATTGCCATAAAAGTGCGAGGTTTGGCTAGCCACAAAACCAGGTTCAACCCACCATTTTTTTCTTAAAATGTCCTGTACCAAGTCAGGAAAATGGCAGTTGTTATCTTATAGTTCGTTTCTGTGTGTGTTGCATTGTCGTTTGTTTTTTGTTCACTTCAGTGTTTCTGTTGTTTCGTTGTTTTCCTCTTATAGTTGATGTGTTTTCCTCGGTTTTAGTTTTTAACCCGGATTTGTTTTTGTCTCAATCGATTTATGACTTTCGAACAGCGGTATACTGCTGTTGTCTTTATTTACCTTTACCTTCAAGAATTTAAAATCACTGCATGGTGGCCTGCTCGGTACTGGCATGATTCATAACATATACTTATTAAAAGTTCCCCGTTCATAAATAAGGAAATCATCCAACAAAACTAAAGTTTAAACTCCCTCAAGCTATAAACTTGACCTGAAATGAATTTGGCTTTTATTGTAAGGTCTTTTTTTTTGTCATACAGCTCTTAATGTCTTAATGTTAAGCGTATTTGCGCATATCTGTATTTCAAATATTTAGATTTGGGCGTTCCTGATGAAGAAAAATCCAGAAATGCACTTTAGTAGTTATAATTTCTTTCTTTGAAAGACGACAGTTATTCATTAGTTAAATGATTTTCTGTAAATAAAATGCAGAATAAGCCTTATTCTCAGGCCATTCCAGTTGGTATAAAAACTCTTGACAAAAGATTGTCTTGAGTTTGAATGTGGTGAGAAAGTTAAGATGTTATGTTTATCTTCTCTTTGGACTTCATACTTAAATTTAATTTATATAAAACAAATATCTGTAAAAAGACTGCTAATAATTTAAATGTACTGCAGTGGGAAAGACCACGCTCCTATCGTATCAACGAGATATTATGCTGCATCTACTGAAGCATATAAAAAAACACCTTTTATTTGTATTTTGGACCATTGTTCTCTTTTCGTCATTTTTTACAATTGTGTTGTTGGTTTCTCTTCCACTTTTTTAAATTTTGATTGTTCCTTTGGTATCTTTCACCTTTGTTTTTTTAATATCTCCTTGTGAATTTTGCAATTTAAACTTAAAAGGTGAATTAACATGATAAGAATCACAGAGCAACAGAAATAAGGACAAAGTCGCCGTACCTAAAAAAAGTTATCCGAAAAAAACATTCAAAGTAGGGCTATAGAAATGGTTGATTGTGTTCAAAAAGGTTTATGAGGAAAGGTTAAAGACTTTATGATTTGTTACCGTTGACTCTAGTCGGAATACATATGATACGATACATGTTTATAAGACAGTTCATTGTAAGATGATATTAAATGGCATAATATGCCTGTACTACCAACACATCAAACAAGATGTCGCCTATTTAAGCAAACAAAGAAGAGATGTAATACAACACAAAGTCATAATACTTTTTCACAGCGAGAAGTAGACAAATGAAACAGTTTGTCTCCCATTACTTCAACTGCAATGTTTATCTATACTATCAAAAGTCGTCTGAATGGATATAATTTATAATTGGAACCAAAAGAATTGTATTATTACATAATTTAAGGAAGTTATTTAAGAAATTTGGCTAAATAATATGAATAATGAATGTTCTAAGTTTATTTTGAATAAGTCTCTTTACTATGTGTCGTCCGAATGAATTCAGAAAAAAAGTTTTGTTTGTTGGTTTTTTTCACATTTTTATATTGCGCACCCGCAAAGTTTTATACGTCGGTTAGCTACATCGCTAGACTACTGCTTTAATTATCACACGGAAAATTATGAATTAATTAACGCGACAGAAAGAGTCATTGGCACAGATCATCGCACAGATTCTGTTATTCAGGTAACTTTGCGATTTACAACTTACAGTTCCCCTATTGTTGATCAAATATACTTGACATATTACTGACATTAACTGGAAATTGATCAAATAAAGAAACGAAAGATGACCCACTATGACATTGAATTTAAAAAATGAGGCCATGGTCTGCTAGATTGCATATGAATGTTCTATGTATAGTTGTGTTGACATGGATTATCGTTGATATGGTCTTTATTATAAATTAACTGTTTATACAACTTTGACTTTTTCAAACTACTAAGGATTTTCTATCTTAGGAAAAGATTACCTTAACTGTATTTAGTAGGGATGTCAACGAGTACTCGAGTACTCGAGTATCGCTCGGTAGTACCGAGTATCGATTACCAAAATGATACTCGACTAATCGCTTTCTTGTTAGAATGTTGTTGCTTTCTCAAGTTTATAAACAAAACAAAAAGTTTTTTTGAGAGCGCCTCCCGGGAAATTATCATACATTAATCAAAATTAATAAAAATTAAAATACGATTTGAATGTTTGCGTTAAACTGTCATTTAAAATTTAAAATTCCTCCAAATAGATGTACATGTAGGATATATGAATAAAAGTTATATCCAAGGCCTACACTTTTAGCTAATCTCATTCACTCTCCCATCTCTGTACCGTCAGAGCATATATTTTCATCAACAGGATTGTTAGTTACCTAACCAATTTGATATATCGCTACGTCCCAGAAAAAGTTTACAAAATAATATTTTTAAATAAGAACAAATTCGTTGCACCCTGTGCCGACCCTCAGAAAATGATTAATGGTATCAGTAAGTTCTAATCATCACCCCTTTGTTGATCATTAAATGTGTTTTTTTACGGTTCCCAAATACTGTTATTTGGGTAATAATTTTTCTTTAGATATTAATTAATTACTTGATTAGCTTATTCCCAGTTTACATGATTAGTACATGTATTAAATGAGCTATTGATTATGCTATAAAATTTCTTGGACTATTATCTAGTCCTCGGTAATAATGTTGAGGGTTTTACGATCATAAGACAACGACCCACAATACATGTAGTACTACATAATAGGGTAACCGTATAATTTTGTGTTTCCATTTTGTAAATGTTTTACCGAGCGAGTACTCGAGTATCGCTCGGTAAATCAAACGAGTAATCGATTAGTAAGTCTTCACCGAGTTGACATCTCTAGTATTTAGCAAAACCTATCGGAATTTTGGGTCCATTATGCTCTTCAACTTTGTATTTTATTTGGCCTTTTTAACTTGTTTGATTCGAGCGTTACTGGTGAGTCTTTTGTAGACGGAATGAGCGTTTGGCGTACAAATTTTTAATCCTGGTATATATGATGAGTTTATTTACATACTATACGTATAGGTCTATTAGAGCAATATACATCAGTCAAGACGTTATCGAAATTTCTCTTGTAGGCGAAGAGTATGTACTATTCGACATTGCAAAACACCTTATGTTCAATACTTTATTCAAAAAGAAATTAATAAATGAATGACTTGCAACGTGCAAATTTTCAGAATAGCTTCACATAAGTAAATTCACATAGTATCAAGTTATGGTGAGATGATTAGATTCATAGATATGCACTTCTTACTCGTTAATTTAAGATATTTTATTATTATTGTAATACCAATATTAGAAAAATAACTTTCAATCATTTTATTAGAATAAATACATATATTCCTGAATATGGCATTTGACTGACAATAGGCGAAAAATATTATAAAAAATTTAATATCTGTACAATTATTTCTTTGTTATTGTTAAAGGGAAAATTCGCGATTTTTTACTTTTCATCTTATTATGTTCATAATACCATAAAAAACATATTTACCAAGTTTTATCTGGATATGAACACTAATAAAGAAGAAAATTGGGAATTAATAATTTAATTTATTCCAACTTCCTGACTTATGTGACGTAGTTTAAGTCTTTTTGCATGCCGGGAGTGAAAAAATCTCGTTGTAAGACTTGTTCGTTAATCATCTAATAACTCGATTTAAAGCGCATCGACGACTTTTGGCGTAGCTATTAACCAACTAATAATTAAGAAAGTAAAGTGATCCGCCGTGCAACTTTCAAAATTAAAATGTACAATTTATATTTAAAGGATTTCTGATATGATTATAGTAATTAAAGTAAATCATACAATAGAATATATTTTCATGAATTTTTTTTCCGACGGATATTTTGAACAAACATATATAACTGATATTGTTTTACAAATGCATGTTTGTATTCTCACCTGAAGGCTTTTACTTCAGTCTAGTACTGTGTAAATACAATGTGTATTGTACTGTGACACTAAGTGACCACCTGTTGAATGCGTGGTTAAATTCAAGGTAATTAAAAGATTGGCATTCTGTAATTCTATTCTTTTGATCTTCACTCAGTGAATTTTAGCCAACACGGTTCACCGTTACAGGTGTGAACAACATTTTGTATGAATGATAAAAACATTAATTATTTGGGGAGGAATATGGTGGCAAAATACCTGAATCGCCGTTATATACATGTATATCTTTTATATTTTGCGTAAGCTTAATTTTAAAATAGATAGGTGAGTATTTTGTTGTAACATCGAAATTCTGAATAACTTTCAATTAAATAATTTTACAAATAAAAATGGCCCACGAAAACGAGCGTATAAACCAAACACTGTACTTACTTTTTCAAATTATCATGGGTATTAACCGTGAATATTTCAATGTTAAGAGAAAATTATCGCGGTTACATGATTAATATAGGTTGGTCCGTCCACAGCGATCTACATTTACCTAATCGGGAATGCCCTTATTAAAATATTTAAAATCTCACAACGTATACATACTTTAGCTATTTGACCAACGATGTTTAAAAAAAATAACAGAATCAATCTAACGTCAACTTTCCTTTTTTGAATGGAGACAGACCGGAGGAATCAATTTTCAATGTGCTTTATATCTTGTACCTTTGCAAGACTTATCATTCATTCATAAACCCACTTTATACCAGAGACATATATGTCAGTCTTAACTGACAAGAATACACCTAAAGCGGACAAGCAGTATTTTCTTTAAGCTTCTGTGATTTAATACCAAGAAAGAAAAAAATCCCGAAATTAATTTGATACTTTGATACTCAATATTTTTCCTGGAAAATATTCATATCCTCGTTTGATCTGAAAATAAGATAGGAATTTGGTATACAGAACATGCAGAAGTGTGAATGTCATAAAACCTTGTTATATCAGAAACCATTATAAATGTGAACCTGTATACGTAAGACCTAATGGGACGTCACCTAACCACATACAGGTAATATACAAGTAGCTCTGTTATACCCGGAAATGTCAAGGTAAATCACTACCGATACAGAATGTACCAATGCAAAGAAAATTCTGATGATTGTGAAGCATGACCATTCATGATTTTAGAGGAGTCTTAGGTGGAAATTGCCGGTACGATTTAAATTCTGACTATATTTTTTTCTCTCAATTTAAATCACTGAACTTAAAAAAAAAGAAACATACGCCCAAGATCAGAATTCTTCATGTAAATTCATAAATACAACGTTCTTATTTTGTAAGTTTCGATATACTTCACACACCCCCCCCCCCCCCCAATCCCCCCCCACCCCCCACCTGGGAACAGTATATCTAACATAACAATGTTTGTGTACCTGCCCAAATAAAAAAAGAAATGAAAAAAGAAAGAGATGAACGGTAAGTCACATCAGATTCAAATATTTATATGGTTGATTGTCGTTAACTAGAGATGTAAAGTTACATGTCTCTGCGTTAACTTATAAGAATGACAGGAAAGTATATACTTGAAATAGATTTATGATGAATAATATGCAACTGCAGCACCCCTTTTTATCAAAGTGTACATGCATGTATTTTAATGACTGTCCGTTATTTCGATTAAGAATGACAAGTGTACGTGAAATTCTATAGTTGCCTGTGAGACTTTTTTTTACCAGATATGCGACTTTTCGTATTTATATTTTCTCTTATATTACTCTCATTTAATATTTTATGCATAAGTGCAATATTAGGAATGGTTTATCCCCCCTCCCTTTTAAGCTAACTAAATAAATTAATCAACCTTCTAGCTGACCAGACGTTAACACATCTACTATCAGTCAATTCGGAGTGAAGTTTCTTTATTTCTTCAAATAAGCTTTTTGGGGATCATTAGTGTACGTCCAGTGGCATATATATTACATGCATGTCGGAACAGGAAAATTGACATGAGGTATAATAGAACCATGTTCACATTATTACATTATTATATATAATACACAACCATTGAAATGATGACGACTTTCTTAAACTGTTCAAAATAATCTTATGGAAATAAAAATCTGTGATTTTACTATGTGCATAACTTTGATGAACCAAAGCAAGTTAGATATAAATAAATAAAATAAATAAAATAAATAAAATAAATAAAATAAATAAAATAAATAAAATAAAATAAAATAAATTAATAAAATAAATAAAATAAATAAAATAAATAAAATAAATAAATAAATAAATAAATAAATAAATAAATAAATAAATAAATAAATAAATAACTAAATAAAATAAATAAAATAAATAAAATAAATAAAATATTATTTTATTATAGTGTCACATATTTGATCAAACAATATATATATACAACAATTCATAATAAAAACAGAGATCAAATATCCAGCCTTAGTATAGACTTATGAGACACTTAGATATCGACCTGTATTTAAATCAGATTGGTTTTGGATGTTTCTCTCGTATATTCAATATACATGTATATATTCTAAATTGCGACTATCTATAGTTCCGTAACCTTCTATCTAGGCGTATAATCCAATGATCGACAAGTGCGTACATTTTGTTAAATCAATATTTGTACGTTTCAAAATGTCCATAATAATTGACAACGAGTAATTACTGACTTACATTTTCCCCAATTTACGTTTGGAAAATATGTAAATATATTTTTATTTTATCAAATCTTTTTTGGGAATTATTTAGATTTTCATAAATGTTCTTTACACCATAAATGTTATTTATAAACAAGCGTATGAGTTTAGTCATATATATAATGGCTATTATATCTATGGTTTAGTAAAGACTAGCATATCACTATCGGACACGCAAGACAAAGATGTATATTCACCTGATAGTTTCAAAATGGAAAGTTACAAGTTATCGGCCGTGTACACTTCTCAATACTCTCAGAGGTGAAGTGATGCACGAACTTGCTTTATGTAATTGTGTAATAAGAGTTTTAAAGCCCGACAAGAAATCGCTTGAATACCTGGACGTGTCAACTCACAATACCTCTGGGAACAATTCCTTTAGCAATGCTGGTGATCAGATAAGGGAAGGTCCGAATTTATTTAAATAAGATTATTACATAAATGAATTATGAACACACTAGATTTTCGAAAACATTTTTACACGGAACACTTAATTTATCACTTTGAACTTTTTAACTAATTTCCATTAACATTTCTTGTTTCAAAAACTTAGTAAAAAAAAATCAGTTTCAAAACGACAGACCATAGTACTAGTTATTCAAAAAAAATTATATATAATTACATTTTCCGTATCAAGTTAGTTAGGAAAGGTTGCATGCACAACCATGTCTATTATAATCTTTTTTTGTGACCACGGAAACTGTTTAGGCTTTCCTTGTCGGGTAAAACAACCGTACGCTTGACAAGATATCGACACTCAATTACGGCTACGTTGGGTTACTGCTTGTTTTGGTCCTTTGCGGTTTATAGATATATCGTGGTTTCTATTCAGGGATGATGTCAAAATGGCCGCACGCGGAGAAGTGATACTCTAAATTTAAAATCGATGGTGATCTCTTATCTAGCAGAATTAAACTTTAATATTTATGAATTTGTGGTTTTTTATACATAATCAACATAATATCAATTTTTCATTTTTTTGCGAAGTTTCCCTTTAATGAAATTCAAATGGAGTTTCGATTTTATATGTAAATTGTACATGGGATATAGTTCTTAAGTAATGAGTTTGTCTACAAATATACAACATTGACATTCGGAAAACAAAACCTCAAACACACCAATACAAATTTCGCCTTTATCATAGCAATATCTTATTATGGATACATCATCCGTTAAGACTACATAAACATCTGTATACTTGCTAGCTTGTTACAATTTCTTGGATAACAGTTTTAGCAAAACATCTAGATTGAACTTAAAACCTATGCATATGTATATGACTCCTATCATTACGATATTTTGATGAAAATAACTTAAAAAGTAATAATGCATTGTACACGTGTTGTAATCATATACATAGCTATAGTCAGCATACTCAGACTCCAACTATTGGGTAGTGCCTGGAAATCTGAAGGATGAATAGAACAGATCAGTGAATTTAAGTTGTATGTGCCTTCTGGAAACATTGTATCTATCTATTGCATCACCAATAAGCACTGAGATGACATGCTGAACATCGATAGTAAAATAATGCAAAATACAATGCAAATAAAGGGCAACAAATGTTATAAATAAAGATACATGTGCATCTAAGAAACAGACACATATCATTGGTACTGAACAAATAACATTGAGCAAAATCGAAGAGACTAATATTGATAAGCGAAATATCGATAACCATGGACTAAGCAATTGCTTGTTAGGTATCAGTACATTTTGGTCAATTTCAACAGCTTTAGCATAGACAGCCTGTTGTTTACAGATATGTAATTTATTTTTGTGTCGTATATACCATGATAAACTTGTGTATATATACATTGCAAAACAGTGAAATTTTGAGATTTGAAAGACCGGTATCCGAATGACTCCTTGTATACATATGCTCGCAATTGCCCCAAGATACAACAATACAATGCTGTGATTTATTATTTTCAAATACTGGAACGTAAAAAGGCTAATCGGTAATCCCCCTGGAAAACGTATTTACCAACTGTTTCGAAAGAACCAATTATTGTTATAACAAAAACAAGAGAACAAATAATATAGGGGAAATGTGCTGACGGTAGTAGTAAACCAATTGCAACAAGGCATCTGAAAATAGTATTCCTAGTGCCAAGTTGTATCAACTGGGCTATACCTACTTCGTGGACTTTTTGAAGGGTAATCTCATGGAAAAAAGTAAGTCGTTTATGTACATCTCTTTCTAATGTTATACTGATTGTCCATACATACTGCATGATAAATGCTGACATAAGCATTTCTCTATCATCACAACTTCGAAGGTTAGAACTATCAGCGAAGCTACAAAAGGAACATTGCGTATTGCTGATAGTATGTTTAGCCATTCGCGTGGTTGTGTTATACCTTTTAAACATTCTAACAGTCCATTCAAACCTGGTTGTGGTAACAACGGTAATCCAAAACATAGTATTAGAACAAGTGTAAATACTAAATAAATTGACAAAAACAACACCCCTATGTTATTAAATGACATTAAAAACATTGTTATGAGTGGATGCAGACACACCCATTCTTTGTCGTATTTTGTCATTTCAGTGAGTTTTGTTGCAGTGAAATGCATTGCAGTTTGGAAATATGAGTTCAATCTCTCGAACTGATTCATTTGTTTGGCTCGTGGGACATCATAAAGATATGCAGATTTTGCAAACTGTATATCCTCTTGAATTTCGTCATTCAGTGCGAAAAATTGCATAATTTTTGATAAGGCATTTCGTCGTTCCATATTGTCTGTAAGACTTCTGTATCGTTCATGTTTTGCCAAAAGGCCTTCTTGAACTGATGGGTCTATAATTCTTCTCCCTAGAAAATGTCTTAAACCACTCACCAAATTCACAAAAAATTCCATACAAGTTCCATCGGATGACTGGTAAAATGGAAACTTGTAAATCACATATATATAGTCTAACAATTCTTCTGTTGAAATATCTACATCACAAATGTACCTCAATTTTTCCAAATTTCTCTTTTCAGTAATTGTTCTTACATGAAGCTTGGATTCTGTACCATCGATAACCTTTTCTGCTGTATGGTAAAATTCATATTTATGATTGGTAGATTCAACGCTGGACGGCCATGGACTAAATACGAGCGATGTGTGAGAACAAAAAGTTGAACCACGGAGCTGATATAGAGAATATTTTCTCTTTGATTTTACGTTTAGATTAAGACCCACTTGTTTCCCAGACACAATGTCCAGGAAATCATCGAACCAATCAACCATCGATGAACCTGAAATGTTGAATACAATGTCAATTGTGTTTTAAAACATGTTTGAATAGTTGTCATGAAATAGACAATAGCTGTGTAGGTGTTTTCATAAAAATCAAGAGTTGCAAAAGTGCCAAAATCAGTTGGTCGATACAAACAAATCCAATGAAAAACTTAATATCAAGGATGGTCGATTTTCATGTTTTCAACATTTCTTTAACATGTTTAATATATCCTTTCCCCACTATCTTTCTCCAATTCTATAAATTAAGATGTTATTCCCTACAGCCCCTAAATCTGCTATATGTAATGTTAAATACACTTTTGTTACATTTTTTGTATATTCCTGAATTATCTTTTGTGTTTTTCATATAGCTAAAAATTTCCTCCACAACTATGTCATTTGACAAACAAAGATAGGTCTTGATTGCATCTAAAATATCAAATATAATTACAAGTCCTAGTTTTATTTTTTTCATTATTGTATTATAGAATTCGTGTGAAATTGCAAATGGTGTTCGCTTGTATTGTATACAGGTTGCAGGAAACATTTGAAAAACTCGGATATCAAGTAAGTTATAATGTTTCTTAAGCCTGTAAACATATATAGAATTTATTCTAAATTGATTCATCTAATAAAACTTGATCATAAAGGATAGTTTTTTTACAAAGAAACATCGTTGTAAGGTTATAGAATTTTGCCTTCTCCTTTATAATATTTTGATAAAACTCTCAACATGTCCAATTGACTTCTATATATTTGAAGAAAAATGTTCTTAATAATCCGTTATTTTTTAATTCACTTGTTTTTCTTGATGCGTCTTAATATGTGATATATACGAACTCTGACTATTAATTTCATAATTTTTGTTTAATAGTTGATGGAGTGAGTATAAATAGTCTAACAGCTTTCCAATCAAAACAAAAGAACATTCACGTGCTTTGAATGTCTGTTTAATTGTAGCATGTAACTTTACATATTTAAATATTTAAATGGCATTAACTGAACATGAAACAAAATGTGTTTCAGTCAAGTTTGATGTAATTTGATTGATTTTATTAGAAAATGTTAAATGTAGTAATGTAGTACAAACAAGTAAAACAGTACTACTTCATAGGCAAATGAGATGAAAATGAAAACAACATTTTCTCTATTTTTATATTTATACCTTCATATGTTGTGTTATTAGAATAAAACAGTGGTTTTTAGCCATAAAGATCTTTCCTTTTGTTATTTTCAAAATTTATAATTTTCTTTTTTTCAAAAAAGTTTTGCATGCTTTGCTGGTCATTACATGTGCATTTGGCAAAGACATAAATGTATGATAAGTTTATTCTGTAGGTATTTCTTGATAAAGACTTTTCAGAGCCTGCTTGTTTTGTTGTGAAAGTCATCATACTAAAAGCATGAAAAGTATCAAGAAATTTCTAGCAAAAGATATCTGTAAAGATTACTTTTAGGAATCAAAAGCCCGAAAAGATATGTTTATAGTAGCTTTAGTTCACAAATCATCAATGAAAAATGTATATTACTCATAAACTGATATAAAATCAATTATCAAAACTTTTACTTGTTGAGCATTTTTATTTGTGTCATTTAGTATTTAGATATGTCAAGTATTCAACACCTAAAAAAAATTAACATAAATACCTAATGGATAACTTTTTCAAGCATAGATAATAAAAAAACAGAGTTCCAATCAATGTCCCCCGCGTTGCGCATATTTTATTTATCCAATGTACATGGGCAATAACTGGTGGAAAACACTTTTTTTTTGTTCCTTAAAACTTTTTATCAATATCTTAGAAAAAATGAAGAATTCAGAACAAATGCAATGTGATTTCCATTATAATTAATATTTCCAAGGGGCACAACTCGTAAAAAATATTTGATCAGAACTTTTTTTCTAAAACTTATGTTAGTATATAAAAAACTTATGTTTTTATTGGTGTCATTTAATATTTAAATATGTCAAGTATTTAACACATCAAAAAAAATATATTGTATAATTAAACTTATAAAACATACAATTATACTATAAAAAACTTTTTTTAAATGTCAAAGACATTGCTGATATAAACCTAGTATATAAGTTTCATAAAATCATGGCAAAAATTGAACATATGAGAGAGCTAACAATGCAATGTTCCATATAATCAAATATTTCCAAGAGGCATAACTCTTTTAAGAATAATTGACGAGCACTGGTTTTTGAACTCCTCATAGACATTGATGATATAAACCTATAATATAAATTTCCTAAATATATGGCAAGCATTGTACACATAAGAGCGCTCATAAGGCAATTTTCCATATAATTTTATTTAAGTATTGATCAGCACTGATTTTCGAACTCATCAAATACATTGATAATATAAACCTATGATATAAGTTTCATAAAAATCTGGCAAGAATTTTACACAAGAGAGCGCTAACGATGCAATTTTCCACATAATTTATGTTACCAAGGGGCATAAATCTTTTAAAAATATTTGATCGGCTCTGATTTTTAAACTCGTCCAAGACATTACTTATATTAACCTATGATATAAGTTTCATTAAAATCTGGCAAAAATTGAACAAATGAGAGCGCTAACGATGCAATTTTCCATATGATTAATGTAGGCACCGATTTACGAACTCATCTAAGACATTTCTGTTATAAACCTATAATATAAGTTTTATAAATATTTGACAAGAATTGTTCACGTGAGAGCGCTAAATAGACCAGACGGACGGATTATGAAATTAAAAGTCAGAGTTCGTATATATCATATTTTAACATACATCAAGAAGAAAACGGAATTTAAAAAAAAAAAATTTAGATTTTATGAATCAAACGGATCATAGTCACAATTTCTGGCCGATACCAACTTGTTTACTTGTTACATAATTTTGAAAAATCTATGAAGCAATGTACTAATGTATTACCAACCCAAGGACACTCATTATGTTCCTTCAATATCAGATTTTCTAATAGTGAGCATTATTGTAACGATATTTTTTTTTAGACCGATGAAGAAGATACTAATGGGGCAATTAAATTGCATTATTTGAAGAAAAAACAGACAACGTCATGAAAGGCAATGAGAATAGACAAAAAGACAATCAACTTGCGACTAACCACTGCACAAAACACTGAAGATGAAAACACTTACCACGCCCTTACACTTCAAAGGCACAGCTCCTGTTTGAATAGTGGCGCTTGCCGCGTTGCTTATATCAAATGAAACTTCGATGATCAATTGCTTTCGATTATGTCAGATGTAAGGAAATGAGGACGGGATTGTGGCGACGTTGCCTTCTGTGACAAAGATATTCCATAACGGTAAACAAAATTATAACGGCTTCTGTGAAACTTATCAAGGTCAAAATAGACTCGCCTTTATAGAATTTTTCTGGATACTTTTGATTTGTCAAAAACAATTAAAGGCTAGCACTTTTTGAACGCTTAAAAATTGTTTATTTCCGCCACGTATGCAATTTGCATGCACAATTAAAAAGAATTATCCATATCCAGGTTTACAATTTGGTGCACCAGACGCGTTTTTCTTCTTCACAAAAAAGTGGAATTGTAATATGTTTAGACGGTCACTACCTTGCCATCTTTGTGTTAGATGGACTTTTATATGACATCCTCAAGTGCTTCAAGGTAAACAAAATGAAAATAGCATTTTATAATTTTATACCAAACTGTTCTTGAAAACAAAATGAATGGTAGTGCATCAAAAGGATAGGCCAATCTCAATTGCGCAATTCCATGGTGTAGAGTTGTAGTTACAAACCTGTGACAAAAGAACGAACGAAAACTCGGGCACAACGTGTACTATATATCCCGTTTCCCTAGCAGGTTAAAATAATTCCATTAGTACAAGTTATCATTTATTTTACACTGAACATAGTAAGATTATGTATCATTGTTTTCAAATAAAAATGGTTCTGATTGCATTATTTTGAATTGTGTTCTTTTAATAGTTCTGAAACAACTGAAATTATACGGCTTGCAAACCTGATATGTTGCCGCTATTGTGTGCAACCTCTGTATGCCGTGTTAATGCTTCCAGTGACATTGGTGGTAACCTTTCACATCCGCTTTCACCGCAAATAGTACCTCCTTTCCAGTCTGTTAAATCATGAATCTCAAGTTCACTCTGTCTTTTGTATAAATACGTTTCTTTTTTTCGCTTGATTGCTCTTGCACTACTATGTGTACCAGATCCTGTAAGTTTGTCCGCTAATGTAGGATCTACATTTCTCAGAGGAACTCCAACTAGGAGAAGATACCAAGTTGCAAAATCCTGACAGTTCCAGCAGTGAACCAATATCTTCCAAAGTTGAGAATAATGTCAACTGCACATTGCAGTACATGTCTCATAGATGTGTTTTTCGTGTATGCTCGAAAAAACTGAACCTGATCTAGAAAGTTTTCAAAATTGTTTTCTCGAATTTGTTTAAAATTTAATGTTATTGCCTGTTTAGTTGAATGATTTGTATACTGATGCTGACAATAGGACTGAAAATTTCTGAATGCATTACCACAACATTGGTATAGTAAATCTTCTCCTTCTGGAGAAACGTGTACCAAAAAATGATGGTTGGCTAGTTCCGAAAAAAAGTGGGTTTGAAAGTAACATTCTTCATTCGGACATATGAAATTTTTATTTACATAACATTTGTCTTCGTGAACTTCAACTTCAAGTTCAAGTCTAAAAGCGCATTTCTCTTTATCTTCCAGTTTTAAAATCACTGCATGGTGTCCGCCACCTAAATTATTGGCTACTGCTTGTACCTTTTTGGATTTGTTTTTGTCAATTAATGGAAATTTAAATCTTTATTCCAAAAGTTACTGTAATGATGTCATTTAAATTCATTCCTAGGGCATGCAGATCGTTTTCGGTCTTCTTCCAAAATTTGGCGATATAATCGGGGCACGCTTCAATGGGGGCACATCTAAGAAGGCTGTTGTCCATCACTTGCTTTTGTGTAATCTGGAAACATAAATATTGATATATTATTATGAACTATTATCATGTACTAGCATTTGACTGCATGGGATATGCACATGAACATGATCGAATTATTCATTATAATCATGGTATAAATCTGGTTTTCTAGGAACATCATAAAGGTGCTGCATTGTTCCTAAGAGGACTTGTGGTGGGGTTTTTTTTCAAGTAATTTTCGAAATATAAAGTCAACATATTAATGCGTCACTGGATTTGAATTCTGTATGTGTAGGAAATCAGCAGAATTGACCATTTTACTACTGAGCAGTCTGCTAAATAAATAATTTGACTCTAAAATTCGGTGAACAATGTGTGACCGTCAAGATAGACTACGGGTAAATTTCAATTATTTTATAATGTTTTTTTTAGGTAAATTAACGTAGAGGCAGAAGATGATATATATCCTATACTGTGTGTCTGTATTTCGTCTTATTTGTATAAGCATCGCTTGTTTATGTAAATAGCTCGAGATCAGCCACTTGTATAATGATGGAAGCCATGGCGACCTCTAAGTATTATACGAATATATTGTTTTACATGAAGTATGCTATCGTTATATATTTTAACTTTCATGTTTAAATTACAAATTAATGTACATACACTAGTTAGATTTATAGGACATTACATATTTTTTAGTTTTGTTAATTTCTAAATAGAACATATTCTAGTTTGTTACTGTTACATTGTATTATGTGATAGCAGGTTAAAACGATTTCAAATACCAGTACAGTATCGTTATTACGCATACAAGTTTTCTTCTATGTGTTCGAGTTGGTTTAAATTTATGATATTTAACATGGTGAAATACGTTTTATATTTTATATTGGTCGATGGTTTTACTTCAAATAATTAAACTATTTATCTTTTATGCGCTAACAAGTCCTAAAAATTGTTTGCTTAGTGTTTCTAACTGATCCATGGAGCCTGCTTCCGACAAAACTGTCGATACAATTACTATGTTCTATAAATATGGTGTTGGAAATCCCATATCCAAACGCAATGAGCGGTGACGTCTATGGTATTTTATCTTTTATGTTATATATTCTAACTTGAAGGTTTAAATTACAAATGTACATATACTAGTTTGCAATCGTTCAACCATAACTCGGCATCATTTGTATTAATAGGACATAAAATATTTTTTTAGTTTTGTTAATTTCTGAATAAGATATTCTAGTCTGTTACTGTTACATTGTATTATTAGAAACTATGTTATAACGTTTTCAAATACAAGACATTACAGTATCGCTATAAATATTGCGTAAATATGTTTTCTTCTACGTGTTCTAGTTGGTTTAAGATTATGTATATATCATATATTCATCGATGGTTTCCCATGTAAATATTTTTCAAACATTAAAACTATTTATCTTTTATATGCGCAAACAATTAGTAAAAAAATATGCTTAGTGTTATTACCTGATCCATGGAGTCTGTTTCCGAAGTAAACGTCGATACAATGACTGTTTTCTATAAATATGTTGTTGGGAATCCCAACCCAAACGCAATAGAGATTGACGTCAATAATATTTTTAATATAATGTGTTATTCCAATTTCGTTACTCTGGAAGAAAAACTTTTGGAAAAAAGACTTCAGTTTTCCGGATTATTTTTTTTTTTCAAATATTATAACTTTTTATATTATTTAATTATCATTTTTTTGTTAGTTTATATGTTAGCCTCATATGTTTGTCTCGTTCTATATTGCTTCGTAGACGTCACAAATATGTGTCCTTTTAAACAAGTCGTGTCCTGACCTATGTGTTATCGCCATAATTATAAAAACATATACGAGCAAACAGTTGTGTTGTCACTTCAAAACGACTTTTATATTCGAATTAAATACATATCAGTTAAATGGTTTGATCATTTATAGAGGCTGAGCTTGGATTAAGTAACAAAGCATTGTTTGATACATCATTAATTGTTATTGTTTTGCATGTACCTGTACTTTTTAGCTCACCTGGCACAAAGGGCCAAGTGAGCTTTTCTCATCACTTAGCGTCCGTCGTCTGCCGTCCGTCGTCTGTCGTCCGTCGTCGTCATCCGTCGTCGTCGTCCGTTAACTTTTACAAAAATCTTCTCCTCTGAAACTACTGGGCCAAATTTAACCAAACTTGGCCACAATCATCACTAGGGTATCTAGTTTAAAAAATGTGTCTGATGACCTCGCCTGCCAACCAAGATTGCCGACATGGCTAAAAATAGAACATAGGCGTAAAATGCAGTTTTTGGCTTTTATCTCTGAAACTAAGGCATTTAGAGCAAATCTGACAAGGGGTAAAAATGTTCATCAGGTTACGATCTATCTGCCCTATTTTCAGATGAATCAGACAACCCGTTGTTTGGTTGCTGCCCCTGCATTAGTAATTTTAAGGAAATTTTGCAGTTTTTGGTTATTATCTTGAATATTATTATAGATAGAGATAAACTTTAAACAGCAATAATGTTCAGCAAAGTAAGATCTACAAATAAGTCAACATGATCAAAATGGTCAATTGACCCCTTAAGGAGTAATTGCCCTTTATAGTCAATTTGTAACAATTTTTCGTAAATTTTTGTAATCTTTTACAAAAAATCTTCTCTTCTGCAACTACTGGGCCAAATTTAACCAAACTTAGCCACAATAAATCACTAGGATATCTAGTTTTAAAAATGTGTCCGATGACCCCGCCCACCAATCAAGATGGCCGAATGGCTAAAATAGTACATAGGGGTAAAATGCAGTTTTTGGCTTATATCTCTGAAACTAAAGCATTTAGAGCAAATTTGACATGGGTAAAAATGTTCATCAGGTTATCTATCTGTCCTGAAATTTTCAGACGAATCAGACAAGCCGTTGTTGGGTTGCTGCCCCTGAATTAGTAATTTTAAAGAAATTTTGCAGTTTTTTGTCGAGCCTGCGACTTTTGTCGCAGAAAGCGAGACATAGGGCTAGTGATCTGGCGGCGGCGGCGGCGTAAACTTACTTCTTAAACGCTTTATATTTTAGAAGACGGAAGACCCGGATGCTTCATACTTTGCATATAGATGCCTTATGTTACGAAGTTTTCGTCTGTCACATGTCCATTGTCCTTGGCCTCATTTTCATGGTTCAGTGACTACTTGAAAAAAGTTAAGATTTTTTGTAATGCTAATTTCTCTCTTATTATGAGTAATAGGATAACTATATTTGGTATGTGCGTACCTTGCAAGGTCCTCATGCCCATCCGACGACAGTTTTCACTAGACCTCGACCTCATTTCATGGATCAGTGAACAAGGTTAAGTTTTCGTGGTAAAGTCCATATCTCAGGTGTATGGAAGGATTGTAAGGTGTACATGTCAACTGGCAGGTGTCATTTGACCTTGACCTCATTTTCATGGTTCAGTGGTTATAGTTAAGTTTTGTGTTTTGGTCTGTTTTTCTTATACTGTACGCAAAAGGTCTACTATATTTGGTGTATGGAATGATTGTAAGGTGTACATGTCCAGCTGGCAGGTCTCATCTGAACTTGACCTCATTTTCATGGTTCAGTGGTCAAAGTTAAGTTTTTGAGTTTTGGTCTATTTTTCTTATACTATATGCAATAGGTCAACTATATTTGGTGTATGGAAATATTTTATGATGCACATGTCAGTCTCGAAGGCTTGATATGACCTTAACCTTATTTTCACGGTTCATTGCTCAGTGTTAAGTTTTTGTGTTTTGGTCTGTTTTTCTTAAACTATAGGCAATAGGTCAACTATATGTTTTGTATAGAAGTATTGTAAGCTGTATATGTCTGTCTGGCAGGTATCATCTGACCTTGACCTCATTTTGTTGGTTCATTGGTCAATGTTAAGTGTTCATGGTAAAATTTGTTTCTTAGATACTATAAGCAATAGGTCAACTATATTTAAAGCATATGTTGATTGTAAGGTGTACATGTCTGCCTGGAATGGTTCATCTGACCTTGACCTCATTTTCATGGTTCGTTGGTCAATTTTTTGTTTTCTTGGTTAAGTCTGTTTCTTAGAAACTATAAGCAATAGGTCAACTATATTTATTATATTGAATGATTGTAAGGTTGATAGTTGTAGTAAAGCTTTATATTTAGGACTATCAACATAAAATCAATGGTTAGTAAAGAAGGCGAGACATTTCAGCGTGTGCACTCTTGTTGTTATTATCTTGAATATTATTATAGATAAAGATAAACTGTTAACAGCAATAATGTTCAGCAAAGTAAGATCTACAAATAAGTCAAATGACAAATATGGTCAATTGACGCCATAAGGAATTATTGCCCTTTAAAGTCAAATTTAACAATTATTCGTAAATTTTTGTAATCTTTTACAAAAATCTTCTCTCCTGAATCAACTGAGACAAATTTAACCAAACTTGGCCACGATGACCCTGCCTGCCAACCAACATGTCAAACATGGCTAAAAATAGAACTTAGGGGGGAAATGCAGTTTTTGACTTATATCTCTGAAACTAAAGCAAATGTATAACGGTTGCGTTATTTCATGCATCAATTGTAAATAAAAATATCAGTTAACAATACAAACTGATTTATTTAAAGCGTTATTTTTTGTATCTTTTTTTTATTCCAAATAGAAATTTAAATGGGAAGTTTGAGATCTTAATGTGTCAGTATGCCTTTTACAAGTCATTGATTTTCTCTATTAGTTACATCTTAATATGTTTATACTTTATAACCTTAGTTGATGGAATTTGGTATTGTTGCATGTCTTTGACAATTTGATTAAATTTATTCATTGTTTATCTCGAATTAGAGCGATTTAGAGATTGGCATGTTTTCTAGACATCTGTCTATTTTTAAGAACATGTGTTGATCTATAGATACTCTTTATGTCATTTTCTTTGCTGTATCATTGACATAATTAAATATCTATTTTTATTCCTTTTAAACCTAGAATGTAATACTTCAGTGAAGCATACTATGTAGGTGAAGGAGACTTTCTTTTTATATGCATTAGTCATATGGATTAGTAAGTTTATCTAAATGTAGGTAACTTTTTTCCAATAAACTTCTATGTTTAAAGAACTTTATTCAATTAATCATGAAATATATGTTGACTTTGAATTGTAGAATGACCGAGCTGTAGATGTAAGTAACAAGAGCTTTTAAAGAGCATGAATAGCTCATCTCGTAACAATGTGCCATTTTGATATTCATGTTTACCTTTACAGCAATCAGTAATGTTTGCCTATTTGTTAATCTTATTACATGATATTTTTGTAGATATTTTATTGATGATTATTTTCATTGGTAACAGTTAATACTTATCTATGAATGTTTTCGACATAATTCGCAAAATTATTAAAATTAGTAAAAAGTGCAATAAATCCTATAAGGAATATGACAATTTGCCCATGTTAAATGATTCGTAGATCTCATTTTGCTTCTTTGAAGAAAAAAAAATAACAAAATTAAAAATGACTTAAATCATAATTCATAGCCTACTTAGGGGAAGTAACTCCTATAAGGAGTCGGTTGACAATTTCGGCAATACAGACTTATTTGTAGGTCTTTTGGTGCTGAACTTTTTTTCTGTAACTGTCCCTCTTTATCCATATTTTTTTCTTTAAAGGACTGTAACTCCTATAAGGGGTCAATTTACGATTTCGTTCATGTTGACTTATTTGGAGATTCTAATTTATCGAATATGTTTGCTTTTTACAGTTCTTTTTATCTTTTATGAATTCTGCAAATTATGAAACAAGAGTGCACACGCTGAAATGTTTCGCCTGCTTTTCTTACCATTGATTTTATGTTGATACATGTAGTCTTAAATATATAGAGAATATTATATGGCACTTTCAATATCACACCCGTATCAATCCGAGACACCAATATAATCATGAGAGCTCTGCTCGAAGGATTATATTGGTTGAGGGTTTATACGGTGTGTGATATTGAAAAAGCCATATCATATACACTTTATTATATACTTTAAACAACTCATAGACAGTACAAATTCTTCGGTATAAATTTCAAAGTTTGCTACATGAGGGGCCTGATGGGTTATTTTCGTTCTTCGTGATCGGCGCATTTTCGCTATCGTGATCCGTTTTTCTACAGATTTATACTCTTTTTATATTTTCGTGATCCGTGATCATGGAAATTTATTTTCTGTGAATCGTGATTGACAAAAAATCAACTCGTGAATCGTAATGAGACCCCCCCCCCATCAGGCCCCTCCTACATCACCACCGTCAACATCGTCAATCTTTGAAAAATTAGCGCTTTGACGTAATGACATATAAGGGGTTTGATAAAGCCTTTGCAACCGTGCTGATATCGATATCATCACGGGTGGCTGATGCAGCACGCTTGCCAATGATTGTATTACACATACAATGTATCTGTATTTACTACTAAGTATATAATAAAAAGTTTTACTACATGTATCACATAACATTAACATGATTCAAGAAAATGAGGCCAAGGTCAGATAAACCAAGCCAGAAATACATGTACACCTTACAATCATTCCATTCACCCAATATAGTTGACCTATTGCTTATAGTATACAAGAAACAGACCAAACCATGAAAACTGTATATTGACCAATGAATCATGAAAATGAGGTCAAGGTCAGATGAACCCTGCCAGACAGACATGTACACCTTACAATCATTCCATGCATCAAATATAGTTGACCTATTGGATATATAGTATCTTAAGAACAATCTTAACCAGGAAAACTTAACATTGACCAATGAACCATGAAAATGTGTTCATGGTTAGACGATATCTACCAGACAGATATATACACCTTATAATTATTCCATATACCAAAAATAGTTGACCTATTGCTTATAGTTTAAGAAAAATAGACCAGTACACTAAAATTCAACATTGAACAATGAACTGTAAAAATGAGGTCAAGGTCAAATAAAACCTGCCGGACTGACATGTACATCGTAAAATATTCCATACGCCAAATAAAGTTGACCTATTGCATACGGTATTAGAAAAACCGACCAAAACACAATAAATTGCTTCGCCGAGCGCAGCTGGATACGACCACAGAGGTCGAACCCTGAACAGTTGGGGGAAAATGGACACATCATTTGCACTTGATTACTGTCTGAATTTGGATTGTAATTAAATTGACACATAATAGGTTTCTGACACAGAATAACTGTAGTCAAAGAACTTAGAATTGGTTATATGATTTGAATTTATATTCAATGTTTTGCTTTTGTGCAATACACTTTGCTGTTGCGAATTGACCCCCCCCCCCCTCCCCCCAAAATAAAAAAAAAATTACCCCCCTTTTTTTTTTTTGCTTTTGTGCAAAACACTATGCTGTTGCGTATTGACCCCCACCCACTTTTTTTTGCAAAAAAAATAATATTTGAAGAATTTTTCTTTTTAATTTCTGAAATCTGAAATGAGAAAAAATTGACCCCCACAATTTCTTTTTACATTCCTAAACGGTTTGAGCCATAACCCCCTAAAGCAAATCCTAAACCATCCCTTTGTGGTATGGAAACTTGTGGTATAATTTCAGAGAGATCCAAACACCGTTCCACAAGTTATTGTCTGGAAACTAGAAAAATGCTTATTTGGGCCCCTTTTTGGCCCCTAATTCCTAAACTGATAGGACCATAACCCCCAAAATCAATCCCAACCTTCCTTTTGTGGTTATAAACCTTGTGTTTAAATTTCATAGATTTCTATTTAATTATACTTAAGTTATTGTCCGGAAACCAACTGTCTTTGGACGACGACGACGTGATACCAATATACGACCCCAAAATTTGTTTGCGGTCGTATAAAAACTTAACTTTAACCACCGAACCATGAAAATAAGGTCACGGTCAGATGACACCTGCCAGTTGGACATGTACACCTTACAATCATCCCATACACCAAATATAGTAGACATATTGTTTATAGTATCTGAGATATGGACTTGACCATGGAAACTTAACCTTGTTTACCGGTCCATGAAATGAGGTCAAGGTCAAGTGAAAACTGCATGAAAGGACCTTGCAAGGTACGCACATACCAAATATATTCTAATTTTACCAGTATGAAATTTTAATAACTTCACTGACATGACAGTTTTTGGTCATTTTTAGTCCTTCCTAATTCTGAAGTAATTGGTTTGATCTGGATTGGAATTAAACTCATGAATTGCCACTGGTCAAGAATGCTAAGGCAGTTGCATATTAAATACCTGAATTAATGTAAACAATCTTTCTACAATCAGCCTTATGTAGAAGAAACGTGCGTCTGGTGAACAAAATTATAAGCTTGGTATCTTTGATGATTTCAACAAGATAGAAAATAAAGATGTGAGGTATATAACAATGAGACAGCAAACAAACAACATACAAATGTAAAAACAAAAGCACTAAAGGTCAACACATGATCTTCAATAATATCAACATTAATGGTACCACTTTTACACTTCCAGATGCACATTTCAACAATAAGTGTCTCTTCAGTAATGCTTGAGTCCAAATTATTGGAATAAGGGTGACTGTGCAATGTCAAGCTCTAATTGGTCCATAGTCCTAACAATGACAAAATAAATTTAACATGAGACTATTTAAGATCTGACATCAACATAAAAATGTCCAAATGTTCAAATAAAAGCCGAATTCATGTAAATCTTACAGTATGTGCATATACCACGAAAATTGAAATTATGTTAAAAGCTATATATATTTCTAACTAGAGGCTCTAAAGAGCCTGTGTCGCTCACCTTGGTCTATGTGCATATTAAACAAAGGACACAGATGGATTCATGACAAAATTGTGTTTTGGTGATGGTGATGTGTTTGTAGATCTTACTTTACTGAACATTCTTGCTCCTTACTATTATCTCTATCTATAATGAACTTGGCCCGGTAGTTACAGTGGAAAATACTTTGTAAAAATTTACAAAATTTATGAAAATTGTAAAAAATTGACTATAAAGGGCAATAACTCCTTAAGGGGTCAATTGACAATTTTGGTCATGTTGCCTTATTTGTAGATCTAACTTTGCTGTACATTATTGCTGTTAACAGTTTATCTCTATCTATAACAATATTCAAGATAATAACCAAAAGCTGCAAAATTTTCTTAAAATTACCAATTCAGGGGCAGCAACCCAACAACTGGTTGCCTGATTGGTCTGAAAATTTCAGGGCAGATAGATCTTGACCTAATGAACAATTTTATCCTCATCAGATTTGCTCTAAATGCTTTGGTTTCAGAGATATGAGCCAAAAACTGCATTTTACCCTATGTACTATTTTTTAGCCATGTCGGCCATCTTGGTTCGCGGGCGGGGTCATCGGACACATTTTTTAAACTAGATACCCTAATGATGATTGTGGACAAGTTTGGTTAAATTTGTCTTAGTAGTTTCAGAGTAGAAGATTTTTGTAAAAGATTACAAAAATTTACGAAAAATGGTTAAAAATTGACTATAAAGGGCAATAACTCCTTAAGGGGTCAAATGACCATTTTGGTCAAGTTGACTTATTTGTAGATCTTACTTTGCTGAACATTATTGCTGTTTACAGTTTATCTCTATCTATAATAATGTTTAAGATAATAACCAAAAACGGCAAAATTTCCTTAAAATTACCAATTCAGGGGCAGCAACCCAACAACGGGTTGTCTGATTCTTCTGAAAATTTCAGGGCAGATAGATCTTGACCTGATAAACAATTTTACCCCATGTCAGATTTGCTCTAAATGCTTTGGTTTCAGAGATATAAGCCAAAATCTACATTTTACCCCTATGTTCTATTTTTAGCCATGGCGGCCATCTTGGTTGGTTGGCCGGGTCATCGGACACATTTTTTAAACTAGATACCCCAATGATGATTGTGGCCAAGTTTGGTCAAATTTGGCCCAGTAGTTTCAGAGCAGAAGATTTTTGTAAAAGTTTACGGACGACGGACGACGGACGCAGGACGACGGACGCCAAGTGATGAGAAAAGCTCACTTGACCTTTCAGGTCAGGTGAGCTAATAAAAGGGATATTTGGGGGAATCTGGTGAAAGATATCGAATTAAACAGCATCAAAGTGACATGGCTAAAATATTTTTTGTTTTCTTATTTCTAGCAATGTGTGTGTCTGTATGTGTATCTGTTTGTGTTTAAGTGAGTTATCAACATTTATTGAATATAATTAAGAGAGAAAATTACAACATTTGATAAAAAGTCTTTATTCATAATAATGTTTGTGAAAATGTCCATCTTCCAACATATATTTTAAGCACAGATTATGATGCAGACATAAAAAATAGAACAATTAATCACACAAAATATTGCACATGTAAATGGCAACATCCTGGTAATAGCTTCAATGTACTTCTAAATTATTATTTTACATCTTTATTTTATCCTCAAATAAGTTACAATCAAAAAGATGGCTTCACAATTCTTATATCCAAGTGATGGAATGTTCAGAATAAATAAATATTTGCGTGAAACTTATTCTTACATTAAGTTATAACAGCTTTGAACGGAAAAGATGCCAGAACAATACCAGTCGATTGACCTGATTCTTGCTGTTTGCAACCAAGAATTCAGCCAACTTACCCTAGATTGTTTTTTCAAATATACGTATAGATGATTTCAGCAAATGACCCATAATTCCTCTACAATTTTCATGTCTGATATAAAATTACTTTGAAAGTTTAGATTTTTGCCATGTAGAGGAAATATAATTATTGTTTGACCTTGATTGACTCTTTATAACAAGACATTGCATATGATTTCATATATAATAATTGTTTGATATTTAGTTATTAGAAGTGGCAAATATAATTCTTCTGAGAACTAACTGGCTTACAAAAATAAATAATGGACAAATCAAAAACAAACAAAAAATGTGTTTAACAATCTTTATCTCTATTTGTTGTAGCCTTATTTTGTAATTAATAAATTGTGCTACAACAAGAAAAGAAAGAATATAAGGAAAATTATTGGGAAAGTCGATTAGTCTTGTGCATGGTGGTTTATACTCAACTATTTTTCTTACTGTTGCAAAATATTAGAATACAATCAATGAGCAATAAATCTTATAGGAAACAGATGGGAACCCTTAATTAAATTGATAGCTATTAATTTGAATTACAAGTGCCTTCCAATACATTCTTTCAGCTTTTGAGAAAAGGTAATATAATACATTTTCACTACTGACTTACTGGTAAGTGGGAAATTTTCACGATTCAGACAAAATCACAAAAAAATATGCTCTCACATAAATTTCAAGAATCAAAGATAACAAAAAAATGCACAGCTAAACTAAAACCTTGTAAATCTGTGAGGCCTTTGAAATCAGGAAATTTAAAATTAACGAAATTAACCCATTTAATGTACCTCAATGATAAACACAGTATCAATCAACATTCATATAATATAACATTAGGTCAAATACACAAACAATCAAAATACAGATCCCGTGTCAAAATTTTGCTTACAAGGATCTGAAAACACTCAGTTCTACTTTCTGTTCTTGTAAATATTACAATAGCCAATGAAATTTCAGCCTTCCAATTTTTGAAGTCATGTATCATTATGACAAAACTAGAGGACCCCAAAGGGTCTTTAAAAAAGAAATGAGAACAAGTCGTTGTCAGATCCTTGTCAGCCAACAATGAACGTAGAATCTGTATATCTATCATAAGGATTTACAATAAATAATAAAATATAATTAATTGCACCTACAAGCAGCACTTACCTATATGCACCAAGTATCTAAAGCTCTTCTTCATAAAGTGAACATGCACATGTATGGTCAAAATAGTTATCTAACAACTACATTTTGGTTAATATTACAGCTATCATTCCTCATGCAGTAGGGTATGACAATATGATCTGATAAACATCTTATATAGTACCAACATCATTTACTTACATTTGAATATATGAGGCATAAGCTAATTAAAGAAAAAAAATATATTCTGCAAATAACCTTTTAACATACACCTGTAAATGTTTAGAATTATATATTTGAAACAAATTACCTTTAACAACACATTGTTTTCAAATGAAAACATCATTGAGACAGTAACCAAACAACTAATAGCAACCAAAAATGTTTACAAATGATGACAAAAAGAGTAGCCTGCAATCTTACAGCCACATACCTAAGGTTATGGATACAAGATTTTTAAAGATAGCATTGATAGTACATCATGTGATTAAAAGTTAATTGTGGTTGACCTTTTACCTCTTAGACAAAGGGTGAAATTGAAGGTGCTACTATTATTTGTGTTTGACAGGTGTCATTTAGACTTGATTTTATGTGAATCTAACAAAAAAATGAAAATAAAACCTCAAAAACAGGTTTGGTCCTAGAAATCACGAAATTAAACTCTGCGAAAACCAAACCACTTTACAGTATACTAACAATCTATTTTCAACTTCTTTGTAAGATATAGCATTGACATTAAATACTGTGGGTTCATATATATTCTTGAGGAACCAATTTTCCTGGATTTTGTGGATATAGGTGAACTGCAAATTTAAATGTTCAACAAAGTACAAATTTTCTCTTAGGCAGGTATGCAGGTTTTGCTAAAACCATGAATTGAATGTCCACAAACATACATTTCTTCTCAATCCACAAACATCCATGAAAATATATGAATCCACAGTTAAGTAATTTTCATGGATATTTGTTATGCATTACTGAATATATTTTATCATCATGAACAAAAGACGTTGTGGGCCAGGAATATATGTAATTGAAACAGCAACACAACGACACAAATAACCAAATGACATCTAGATTTCAAAAATTAGTCTTCAATAAGTCTATACTTTATTCCAACACATGGTTTTTATTGGAATAAAAAGATAAATAATAGAAGTTACATTAAAAACATATATTGATACTTAACTTATCATTCTCTTCAAAAGCATCATACTTTTTTCACGCTACCAAAATGTGTAAATTATGAAGAAAATTAAAGTATCATTTATCAAGTTAATAAATAAATCTGAATGAGCACCTGTATTTTAATACCTCACATTTTTTTCTTAAAAATATCTTACATTCTATATAATAACAACAGATTTTTTTAAACAAACATATCACACTTGAAAAATAAATGTCACTCAAAAATCACTCATTACATGCATGATTCTCTTTTGTAAATTTCCAGTGATTGAGTATATCACTCTCACAGAAAACCCTGTGTCCAGCTTTTGATGTAAACCTATTTTGTTGTGTTGTTGTGTTGCTGTCTCAATGGTATGTATCAAACATCTCCTTAACAAATTCATTTTAATGACATGCAGTAACTAAAAGGCAAGTTGTATGGATAAGCAATTTCTCATCTAAAAGAACCTTTACGCTGTAGACATTTCAATACATGTATCACAAAACGAAAATACGTAAAAGTTCTAAATCAAGGCAAGAGCCTTTACAAGAAATATGAATATGTGACAGTAAAACTCATGACTGATGTACACAAATATACGTACTCATCCTGCTCTAATGGAGCTAGTAAACATTTATTTGCAATCATAAAATCTTGCAATGATGCTATCAAATATTGAAAGAAAAGATATTTTAAAACATCTGAGCAAGATTTGGTTTACATCCTGCCTTGATGATGCTCACCATGCATGAACATTTCTAAATGTACCAATTAAGGATCTCATACCATTTCATGTAGTCCAAGCAGAATCAATCTTAAACAAATATAATGCTAGATTAAGATAGCAAAATAAACTTTTATGTGTTCTATTGATAATTTCTAAGCATGTCCAATTGGACTTCGGCAGAAAAATTGATGAATTTACCATGAAAGTTCATATTTGGAACACAAAATACTTATAGGTCCTAAGGTATATGTTATTTTTGTTAATAGATTTTTTGTTTGTTTTTCTATTTTACAAATTTGTGAATTAAAATTGTACCCTGATTTCATTTACAATAAATAAATTAATCCTTATTACATTAATTAAATGCTTATAAACAATAGTGACTGTGGAACAAAATAAACATTTTCGATCATTAGATTTTCACTCAATGAACATGATGAACTCTGACCTTCAATCATACAAACATACCAAAATTCTTCTCTTCAATTGGAAATATATCCCACATTTTATACACTCTCTCATACATTTATATACATAAATACATATATGTACATATGTGCAGTAATGAATATTTAACAATAAATCCTAATATAACAAATAACTATCATGGAACACCGAACGGTACGACTAAATTCTCTTTATGCTGAACTTTAATCTCTTTTATACATCTAGCTGCTTTCTCAGTAGCATTAGTTATCTATAAATATAAAGAATTTTATTGGTTTAGATGCTTTCAGCTGATAATTCTTTAGGCTGGGTGAATAATAACTTGTTGGTCTATCAATACTCATACTGATCTCTACAAAAGACTAATTTAATTTACTAATTGTATAATTTCATTCTGATATGATTTATCTTAATCAACTTTGTATCAACACATGTTATATTGTATTTAAACCCTGATAGTTTTGGATACATGGTTTTTAAATCCAGCTACAGTAAAAACCTGCTATAAAGGTTGTTAAGCAAAATTTTGTCATGTCAGGTGATCCTCTTTTTGTCCCACTGTAGTAATAACTAAGCATTTAGAACTTCTACTCAACATGCTCAAAGGTCACTTCTCTTATAATGTTAGTTCTTTCATCTGAGGGAACTTTATATATAGATTTGACTGTACTTTTGACTATTGTTTTTACAACTTCAATGAACTTTACAAAGACTGGTAATAACTGAAGGATACGTATATTGATATCTTGTTGATGAATACTCTACATCTCCTTTTGAACAGGTATAAATGAATGACCATTTGATTGTTTATAACTTAAAAAAATATGATATTCTATTTCTATTTCTATTATATAACAGTATTTATTTTTTTGTATTTTTTTTGTGTTAATTGCTGCCCATCGTGCACTTAATACAGGAGACAGAGTGTAAATCTGAAACAGTTAATTAGAACACTGATATTTTTTCTGTATTCAACGGATTACAGATTTTCCCTAAAATTTTAATCCGACTGATTTTAGATTGGTCATTTGAATCATTCTAGTTTGTCTGACCAATTTCCAAGTCTACAATATTCACTGGTTGCAGTATAATCACTTACCAACTGAATATCATGTAATGAAATAGGTTTACTGGCTAGCACGGACTGTGGAGCTGTTACACAATTAGGTAGATTTGGTTTCTGTCGTAACCGACTACTGCCGCCTACAACCATGTTAACTCGGTTGCTGAATAAGAAAAAAATGAAGTTATAAGATTTTTTGAGACTACATGTATCTGACCTTCCTACAACATTTGATCATAAATTGAGTTTAATAATAGCCCGTTTACATAAATACATACAAAGGAGATGTTTTCATACAATCTTTAACATCATCAAGAAAGCAAGAAAATTTGACGTCATAATTAAATTTCGACCAATCATTTGCCAAGAACAAATTTTCACCAGTGAGGAGAAATATTTTTCTCACACCAGTCAAGAAATGTGAAAATAGCACAAAAATTAGAGAACATGTTTTCCTATATAACCATAATAACTTGTTTAGATTGATTTATTGTTGCTTACTTGATGTCTGACATTTTATTAGCTTAGTACTATGAGTTACCTTAATGTTTATGTGAACAAATAACATTGTATAATTAAGGCATCAGTATCATATATCTGGAGAAAATCTACAATGTGGTACAGATTCCCTAAGTGCAATGATATTGTATCCAGATATGTGTTAATTTAAATTACCTATACTGTCTAGTTCTCTCTTGATATTCTGTTTGTTCTACTAAGTTACTTTCATTTGTAACATCTATCACATCCCTGAAAAAGTAAAAATTCTTTGTACTGGTAAATAATTTCAGCTAAGCTGGTAAGTTCAATCTATAGCAATGAGGTATATTCAAAAAGCGATTGGTAAAAGGTTATTTTCGTGCAACCTGTTTTCAATTTTTATTTCAAGTGTTTTCATGCTTAAAACACATTATTCGCCATGCTTTGTGCAAGTTGGAAAAAAAGCAACTTGTAATCAGTTTTTTTTTATGCCATAGTGTAAATATTACTTCATGCACATCATCAGGCTATTTAGCAGGATTTTATCTTACAAGAAACTATTACCACATATTGCATATTGAAGTTAGAAAGTTATATTTTCTCCCCTTAAAAATCAGAACTGGGATTATATTCCTTTGTGCACATCCTTAGGTAGCGTTCTAATTTAAAGCTGTTTTAAGTTTCATCAATGTCGGTCTGGCTGTTTAGAAGACTTTGCACTTTCAATGCACATGGATAGACAGATGGACTGAGAGGACAGTTCTTATATATCCCAAAACTTTGTTTGCTGGGGGTATAAAAAAGTATTCCAAAATGTACATTTTGCACCTACCACCTTTTAAAATGTTTGTTTACACTTTGCAAAACACATCAGTAATATTGAACCAACCTTGCCGTTTTCTGTAATATTCTTTCTAACGCTGACTGTTCATCTCCTTTTGGATGACTTATTATTGCTGGCTCACTGCTTGGACCACTGTCATCATTAAAATAAAATTGACAATGGACATTAAATCATTTTAGGAGATATAAATATTAAAATTCATTGTACAAATACTTGACAAAAGTATGCGTAAGTCATTGGTAAGTTAGGAGAATCAATCAGTTTTTCAATATGAAACTGGAACTTTGTATTTCATTTGTAGCAAAAATCTTTAAACTTATTTAAAAAGATTGAATATGCTTGCTTGCCTTTGTAGTCTTAAATTTGAGCAAAAGAAATCATCTACATTTATCCCTTATTGATATTTTTTGTAAATCTATATTTTTGTTTTCATTATTATCAGATGCTTATTGAAAGAAGAACTAAAAATACTGCAATAGAGGTTATTTATATATCATATTACTCAAGGACAAGAATAATACAGAACTGACAAAATGCTATGATTTTCATGATGTTCATCAACAGAGAAATATGACAAGAAATAGAATATTGGAGAAGCATTCACTTTGTAGACAGAAATGTATAATATTATGAAAATTTTGTAAAGTAAATACAAGCAAGGACAAGGATTCAAAAATCTTTCGGGAAGCTAAATATGTTTCAAAATAAAAGGCAGGGATTTTCCATAATTCTGTTAAATTCCAGGGAACAGGATATGAATGCACTGTACAAATACCTTTTTCACTATTATCCTGATTATTATTGTTATTGTTAAATATGAAAGCATACCCTGTAAGTTCTCCAAAAACATTTGTACAAGGTAAACACTAGATTTTCTTGAAATGTGTGAATGATCCTTAATTTGATTTTTATCTCTATTTTAATTGGGGGATGTTGAATTTACCTTGCACATTGTTGCAGATGTCATTACTGAGAATATTCCCAAATAATCTTATCAAGATTCAAACATACTGAAAATATGTTGTCTGATTGTCAAACTTAGCATCAAGTCAAATTTAAATTTAGAATTTAATTAAATAATTTATTGATATTTTCCAAAACCCAAATGACCCTTTAAATGTTTATGAAATCAAACCTGAGCAATCACGTTTAAAATTAAGAATTCACCGAAATTTTCCCCAAAACTAGTCATTGTTTAAATATAGTTTATGAAATCAAACCCGAGAAAACAGATTTTTAAATGAATCCCTATTAAGGTATTGTACACAAAAACTTCTCACAGTAGCTATATAGTCATGGTAGTTATTAATACATATTAAGGAGGCATTACTACATTCATGGTTCCATTCGTACATACATCTTTTAGACAAGCAATTAAGGTTTGCAAAAGCTATATTTCAAGTCGACTTTGAAGCCACAAAACTGTTCATAGATATTTCAAGGTAAAAGCCATTTTCAAACTTTAGCAATGTCAATTTAGAGCTTTTGAATGATTTGTCATGCAATACAAAACTTTACCTAGGTATTGTTTGTATTATAGGAGGTGGATTATAGGGCTGGGGAGGTTCTGTAAAGACTGGTTTTGGTTCTTCTGTTTTGATACCATAACAACACCAGCAACAACTAAAACTAACAATCACCAATAATCAGTCATTCCAACATGTCCAAAGGTCAATCTCACACAGTAAAATTTGGTTTTGGCAAGTATAAAGCAAATATAACTAGACCAAATGTCCTGTAGGCATATGAATTTCAAAATCAGATGTTAGAAGTACTGTAAAGTCACCTCATATCAGTAAGAGCTATTTCATTAAACTTAATGTGAGAGTGTACATGAAGGAAAGGGGGTTTTTTTTAAGATTAATTCCTTGATTTTCAACCAGCTTTTTTTTAAATTGGGTCTGGCTAGCAATTACTTTTTTCATTTTGTGCCATAATTTGAGGAAATGTTTATCAAAATAAAGGAAAATAGCCAAAAGAATTTTTTTTATAAAACGTTGCTCTAAAAAATCTGCCAGACAGAAATGGGAACATATGATATATCTTATTTTATCACTGTTACTTATATTTATTTATTCTGTAGCCATGTACACGTATTCAGGATCTTTCATCTAATTCAAAATGATTCAAATTTTGTTTTCAAAATGTACAAGATGTACGTTGGTCACAGGAATAGTTGCAACACATGATTAAATATTTTTTAGGTTTATATATTTTGCAGAAGGGTGCATGTCAAATATATATTTCTCTAACATACACATGAGGTATGATAGTGTTTGTTGACTTATAGATGTCGTATTTTTTTTTATTTTATTGTGTTGTAGGGTTACAGTCTCATTCATATTTACTTGAAACAGTTTGAATGTGTATCCACATAAGGAAAATGTTGCTTCTGACATGTCTGAGAATTATATGTTACATGTCAGATAAATCTTGTACATTCTAAAAAGTGTGCCTTTTAGAAATGATTTGTGGCAATGAAGGGCATTTCTTTTGAAAATGCATTTTACTTACACAGATCTTGGAGAATGATTTTGTACAGGGTTTATAAGTCTAGTTGTTTCATCTGGTTCATTAGTCTGAAAAAAAGTAAGTATGCACATTATTAACTGTACACGTCATGTATATATTCTAATATTTATAATGAAACATGATACTGTTAGTCTACAGTTTTCAGAGGAATAAAAACATTGCAAAATATTGATCACATTTAATGCTTTAAGAAACTAACAATGACTAAGGTTTCAACTCCCTCAGGCAAAGTTGACTATAGATGGATTTGGCTATTTTTATATGTCCTTTTTAGTCATATAGCTCTTCAACTGTTTCTGTTCTTATACATCCTTGGCTTTCAAATATTTGGCTTTGCGCTTTTTCTGATGAAGGTAAATCCAGAAAAGCGCTTCGGACGCATGAAATTTATAACAATTTGTTTGTTAGAGGCAGTTAATTTCGGATTTTTAAGTTAATAAGGGGCTTATAAACTTTTGCAGTGAACCTTCTGCAGCGGATTTTTTTCGAATCTACAAAATTTTTTTTTTTTTACGTATGATGGAGCAAGGCATTCTCTAAATACATATGGTTCCCCATACATACTCTTTGTATTATGATATTACATTAAATTTAATGAGAGGAACTTTACCAAGTAAATATAAAACGTTAAAGCAAATTATATTCACATGCAGAGAAAAAAGGACAATCTCTCATTAAGTATGCAACTGTAAAAAGGACAGAAATAGACAATAACAAATGTAAATTTATTATTATATATTGACTATTAAAAAAATTTACTTCTTATAGGCCTAATAATTTAACATCTGTAGATTTACAACTAGAAATAATGTGTAATATGGACCAATGGACATCAGATAACGGACCATAGCACTTCAGCGTGACTATCCCACTTCAGCGTGACCATCCCACTTCATTGTGACCATCACACTTCAGTGTCCCCATAGACATGATAGAACCACAGCATCTTACATATAAATGTAACACTCAGAAACGTGTCCATTCCCCAAACGTGTCCATATGACGTCACTGAACTCCAAAATATGTCTAGTTGTAAAAGGGCGCTAAAGCGTGTCATTTGTATAAATGCCCAAACGTGTCCAATCTCCCAAACATGTCCATATGAAGCCTAAATTTTTCCTTTCTCTGAAAGCTCAATCGTGTCCATATTATAAAAAGTAAAATCACAAAATTACCTAACTCCCAAAGATGTCCCCCGTTATTTGGTTATTGCTCTTTCATTGACGTATACTCCTTTCACCATTTCATTGCAAATTGAAATATAGTCCTTTAAGTCTTTATCAAACTAACAGTATAACCCGTGCCGAAGTGGGGCCTCCGTTCGGCTGTGCGGGATGTAAAAGTATGCAGCCATGTCATTTTATAATGTGGATATTAAATCAGATACCTTGTGTAGGGAGTATGCCCCCTCTCTGCACATTAAAATCCTTGTAACAACGCTTTCAGGATGCCTTCGGTGGTATGCTGCAAGGCAACATTTTTGTCCCTATCCATATACCCTTATTATCTAGTGGCAGTTAGAATTTCCCCAACTTTTATTTCAAACGGCCTCTACTATATAAGGGCAATGAAGGAGTGTCATACTGAAGTCCCGAAAAAATAAAGCGGTCTTTCCCCATTCCCAAAAATTATTATTTAATTCCGAGTCCCGATTAGTGCAAATTCCTATAATAACCGTAAAAATTTAGGCTGAATCCCAAATTCCCAGAATAATAATGGCACAATCCCAAAGTCCCGGAAATTATTCTTATAGAACCTACCTACATGACCTATAGTATTTGTTGTTAATATGATGTCGTCATGATAATGGCAATGCATGAAATATTTTCCACTGAACACAATGTCTCTTGTTTGTGTGTCTTTAAGCATGTTAAGCATTGTTAAGTGATTCTCAAAACCCAAAATTTATAAAAAAAAAAAAACATATACCAGTTAATAATTTCAAGAGCTTTTAAAGAAACAGAACTGTTGCAAAAAAATGGAAAACACTTCAGCAGGAAGCCAGCCATGCAATATCCTCATACATGATTAATATAGTAAGGCATTACCGCAGTTTATTAGCATGATTAGTACAAAATAATTTACTTCTTTCAACTGTGTTCCTTTATTAATTTCCGGTAATTGTGCCCAAAACACTTCAGGATTTATGTCTTTTGAATGCGGCTTTTATCTTATTTACGATCCAACCGAAACCCGACATCTTCAATCATGTCCCCTATCATGAAATTGTCGTAAACTTTATTGACGTCACTGAGAACATAATAGTGCTTAAAGTTTTGAGACGTACAGGCGTTTTAAAGTGGACACGTTTTGGCGAATAACAATTATAGGACACGTTTGGGGGTTATGAAATCGGACACGTTTGGGCGAACACCCAAAATATACCACAGAACTACACAAAATACAATAAAACTACTAAAATATACCACAGAACATTGAATTACTTTACAAAATGCAAAACTAATAATTCAGAATTATATTATTTTTATAATTCGGGCTACACAAATAACAGGACGATTGACCGGATGAGATATAAATTTCTTTAATGATCATAACTTTTTTTGTTATCAGGTTATTAGGTAGATTTTTTTTTTTTATATTTGGAGACCTTTGAAATACTAAACTATATTTCATAAAAATCTTTTAAAAACAATTTATTGTAAAAAAAAAGTTTTTCTATAAAAAAAAATGATTTTCTATAAAAAAAAAATGATTTTCTATAAAGAACTGATGTTTTGTTGTTTTTTTTTTGCATGTTTAGAACAATTTGACGATAGTCCATGAACACTATGCATTTTTTCAAAAATGCTTGCCTTTGGCATATCTATATTTTTCATTTTCAAAAGTTGACTTTTAGTGGATGTTGCATGAGACGTTTCCATAGATTTTACTCTTCACACTTGATACTTCATCTGTTGATACATGTATATATATACAACATAACCCTTTAGTCATGTTAGTGCACCTGAGATCCCCCCAGTTCGTGTTGCTCAGTCATTAGTTTTCTATGTTGTGTTTTGTTTACTGTTTTTTGTCTGTTTGTCTGATGGTTTTTTTCTTTTTTATAACTGGCATTGTCAGTTTATTTTCAACCTAATGTCCCTTTGGTATCTTTCGCCTATCTTTTAGTGCACTGTAAAATATGTTTAGATATGTTGAAAGCCATACTTAATGGCAACTTATAAATATACAAAATTGCTTAGTCTTTAAAAAAACCTGAAAGACTTCAGCTGCTTTTTTTGTTTGTTTTGAAAATGGGTGCAATTTGGGTACTGTTACCGATAAGGTTTATCAGTCTGTGTGCTTTCCAATACCTGCATTGCTATCACATGTTATATAAAGCCCAAAAGTTGACACTGTTCAAAAAGTTCTCAGACTTGCTAAATAGCATTGTATTCAGAGCGAAGATTTAGTTAAAGTAGGGTCTGTATAAACAAAACGGATAAAGAGGGGGAGGTGTCTCAAAGTTAGGAAATTGGTAAGAAATGCTTCTGTTTGATTGTGAACAAATAAGGGAATTTTCACCAGTGTGTCTTTATCATCTTCACTGCTAAAGCAGCATCCCATATTTAATGGGTTTGTTACTTTCTCGAAACTCTATACAGATCTATCGCTTTTTCGGTTTTATTTTGTAGGTGTCCTTAACCTTAGAAACTCACATGACTGTAGGAGGAAATTCTGAAAACGTTTGTTATTGATTGGTTAATATTTGACAATATTTATTTAAAATATGTTTCAAAATTAATTTCATTTAATAAAACTTTTCTATTTCAATTAATATTTAGTTCAAGAACTTAATCATACAAATGTTGTACGTATTTAATGTGTGAATTCGGGTATTCATCCCGCATCTTCAAGATGTCAGCCTCCATTGGAAAATAAAAATATGACAACATTTGTACTTCGAGGACTCAAAAGATCATTTCTTTCTAGATCTTTTTCGTTTACTCAGTACAGATCAATAAGAAATACTATTAAAGACATTTTGAAATGTAAACAAAGTGATGTAACAGTAAATGCAACGGTAAATAACCACCGGCACTTAAAATTGCCTAACAGTAAATGTAACACTTTCAAGACGTTTCGGCCACAGTACCATTTCGGCCAAAGTCGTTTCGGCCACACTATTTCATATTGTTCTTAACATAAATATATGCATTAACTGTTTTGACAGAAGTTTGTTTTTCGGAAAGAATATTAAAGTCATTTTTGCGGAGCGTCTTTTTACCACAGAACACCACAGAATACCACAGAACACCACAGAATACCACAGAACACCCAAAATATACCACAGAACTACACAAAATACAATAAAACTACTAAAATATACCACAGAACATTGAATTACTTTACAAAATGCAAAACTAATAATTCAGAATTATATTATTTTTATAATTCGGGCTACACAAATAACAGGACGATTGACCGGATGAGATATAAATTTCTTTAATGATCATAACTTTTTTTGTTATCAGGTTATTAGGTAGATTTTTTTTTATATTTGGAGACCTTTGAAATACTAAACTATATTTCATAAAAATCTTTTAAAAACAATTTATTGTAAAAAAAAAGTTTTTCTATAAAAAAAAATGATTTTCTATAAAAAAAAAATGATTTTCTATAAATAAATGTTTTTCTATAAAAAAAAAGTTTACATGATGAATTTTCCTGGCGCCAATTACACTTTTACGATTGAGATTGTTCTCCCAATTCTTTTAATAAATTTTGAAATAATCAACTATTTACAAAATTGTCAATTGATTGAATTCTAGTTGCCATCTTATTATGCAAGGTTTAATTCAATCTGGGAACAGTATATCTAAGTCAATATATATGTTCCTGATTCAATTAAATGGTTTATTCCTCCTAAAATCTTGTATGTCATTTGTAAGAAATCCATGTAGAAATAGAAGGAATAGTTGAATAAACAAGGGATTCATCAGATTAGATTGTCAAAACATAATGCTAATTAACTTCAGGTAAATATCTATAAAACCTAACAAGTTAGTTTTTATCAATATACAGTTTGAAAATATTCAAAAAGTTCTAACAAAAGGCTTTGGCACAGCTACTTATCATATAGACATCTGTAAATAAAAACACTAATTTCTGTTTATCATCAAAAGACATAAAATCACTATTAAAATGTGTTGCTTCATCAAATTATTTTTTTCTAAAATCGTCATATAAAGGACACGATAAAATAACATGGGCTTCATCTTCTAAAATATCCTTACAACTATCACAGACTCGCTCCTCTAAAAGTAATTTTTCAAATCTCCCTGTTTCGGTTCTTAGTGGTGCTACACAACATCGAAATTTGACAAAAGAACTCCTTTGTGAAAATGACATTGGAATTGCACAATAAGTTTCCGTTTCAAAACTGTTCTTAAATAAATTATATTTTCGAAGTTTGTTACCACCTTTACCAGATAAAGCTTTCTCTGGCTGTAAATTGCATTGCCACTGTTCAACATATTTACTAAATATTTAAGATATAATAGTATTGACAACTGAAGAACTATGAACATATACTGTAATGTTACACAAATGTTCTGCATTACACTCAGAAAAGATTGGAATAGAAGGAATATTTATTTTCAAAATGAAGGAATAGCAGGAAGACACCCAATTAAATCTATTTGATGTCTCATGAGGTGTGAAAACTTAAATGACATTTTAATTGGCTTGATGATTGGTGATTACGACGAGTGTCAAAATTAGATAATTTAATTAAATTTTGGTTCTTTTAATGTGCCGGTGAACTCGCTCAGATCATCGTTTTGGACTCAAAATATAAAATCTATATAGTAATGCTTCATATGCTAGTTTTTAATTATTAAGATGCAGTTCAACTATTTCTAAATGCATACAAAATTATGTAAAAATCTGAAATATTGTCCAATGACTTTTATTTCATCTCAAGTAAAGTATGTGTATACAATGTTTCATCTGAATTGCCGACAGTATTTGGTTTTGAACTGCATCAAGTGTATCAAGAATCTATTCAGTGTTTCAAAAGCCAAACTAATGTACTAGTTTGTGATGTCCATCTGAGTTGCCGCTAGTGTTGTCAGAGAACGTTTTCCATGGACTATTATTCAATATTTAATAATATACATGTATTTATTCATATTGTAACAACTCTTAACATAAAATTAAACAAAAAATACAACTACAACGATAAATACCCCAGAATTACAATTGTTTTAATACCGGTAGGTGTTTTTGGTATAGACCCAGTAATAGGCCAATTCAGTTTGGGGCGTAGCGATAGTGAGTCGACCCTAAATAGAAAAATTAAATTTATTTGAATAATAAATGTCAAATTATAAAAAGAATTAACAATAACAATAATATAATGTCTGAAGTATTTATATTTTTGGTGTTCTGTGGTATATTTTTGGTGTTCTGTGGTATTCTGTGGTGTTCTGTGGTGTTCTGTGGTATTCTGTGGTGTTCTGTGGTAAAAAGACGCTCCCGTCATTTTTGTTGTAATGTGTACGATAATTTGCTGTGAAACAAGAGAATGTAGCATATGATGTCGTATTGATGAAGACATTAATAATGTTTCACTCTAACTTTGCTGCTTGATTAACATATTTTTTTATAACAGAGAATAGAAAATAAACAATCTGTCCATATTTATTAATAACAAACATAAGCATTGATAAGCATGATAAGTACAGATACAATGTACATGAAAACCAATGACTGCATTCAATATCATACATTGTCATAGCAGCTAGCATAGCCCTATGCTAGCCTAGATTTGTATCTACATTGTATGTTGAACGGCATGCTACATTTGTACGTACCATTGTGCCAGTCTTTGTACAAACCACTTACACTTGCAATAACATATATACATGCTATAAATATCTTTCTTGTATGTTTTTTTTTTTACTTAGATACATTGTATATATGACATCATTTTTGATTCCCTGATGTCTTAAAGGATTCTCTAGCTACCATGATTTGTTTTGCTATCTTAATCTAGCGGCTAGGCCTAGCCATACGTTAGGTAGTCAAAAGCTACATATAGCTAGCAGCTACAATATTGATCACTCCCCCTGGTGAACAAGCTAGGGCATTCATAAAATCATTTATAAAATCGAAAATAGAAACTTGTCTCTCATATCCCTGTTCAGAAAATTTATTAAGATCGATTGAGCCATACTAATTACCTCCCTTTGACCTTTTTCTAATGACATTTTCGTTTTCTGCTTTAATATTTTGAAAATGCAACCTAATACTTAAAATTGGCATAATGTGAGCAGGTGATACCTGTGAAAGAGGGTGAAGTCCTGATAAAAAAACTGCAAAATGCATTTAAATACAGACAGTCAGGGGTACTACTTGTATAAGTAATCTTTATTTACTTGAAGAAGTAAATAAAATAAACTTATATAAGTTAATTATAATGTTTGAATAATCTCCCCTTAATTTTCTCAAAAATTTACTTGTATAAGTAAATTTTTTTTACAGTCCCACAAAAATTCTCATGTTTTGAGATGTAAAAACATGCCTTTAAGAATTTTTCTCAGGTTAGCTCATAATTTTTGATTAGAGTTCAATGTTTCATCTCATTAATTCAACAAAGAAACTGATTGCGCAAAGATCTTAAGTATTTGCGCAAGGCCTTCAAAAATTGCCCCTTGGGGGCTTGTAAATGAGCAGTGTTCTAAAGATAACAGACAAATGAGATTTTCATTGTCCATGAAATTACACTTAAATGATCAGTAAAGACATCTGCAAAGGACAGACAATCAAAAATTCTATTAGAGCAAAGAAGTCCTAAGAATTCAAGAAAAGAAGATAGGATGACTTTTTTACTTGTATAAGTAAAAAAATCTGAATGTCTAAGGGACATAACTAAGCCCAATTTTTTTTTACCTATACAAGTAAATAAAATACACTTGTATAAGTATCCTACAAATTTACTTATATAAGTATATTACTATTTACTTCTTCAAGTAAATAAAAATTACTTGTACAAGTAGTACCCCTGACTGACAGATTTTTGAAACTACAGCAAAATGATTTTTTGTAACTAAGGCCATCAATTATTTTTTTCCTTTAACCAGTTGCAACATTACAAAATTCATTATCATTTAAAATTAATCACTAACTTTAGAGATGGCCTACATTATTGGCTTCATGACTGTGGAAACAATAAATAACTTGTTTTACCAACATGACCAAATTGAAAAAAAAAATACTCTGCATCATTTCAGTTGCAAATGTCACTGAAATACAGAAACTTACCATATCATCATGATCATGGTCCTGTTGTTAGGAATTTTATTTATTTATGTCATTTTTAATGTAAACAAAGAAATGCTAATTAACAATTTTCTGTTTTTTTTTATCTTAGAAATATGATAATTAAACTCATTATATAGATACCAGATTTATATATCTTAAAACAACGAAGATACCATGTCAGCTTTCTGCTTATTTTAAATCATTGCAGGGATGATTCCAGGTGCTTTCAAATGGGTCCTTTGACCATCAAATTGGGAATTTTCATCCCAATTGGGAATTTTTTTATGCATAAAATCTTAGACAAAATAACATTATTTTCCTGTAAAAATGTAAAATGTATAAACATGATAAAGTTTTACCTGTCATGCCTGTACACTGCTGTAAGAAGTTGTAACATTTGAAATAATCCTGGAC